ATGACGTATTTCTTTGTTCTTCCATCTCCGAAGGAGTGTGATGAAGCTGCATTGGCGAGCGGGACGGACATTGATGAGATCCAGATGGAAGAAGTCGGTGGTGCTGGCAAGGAAGAAATGATTAGCGACTTGAAACTAGGAGATAAGTTACGTCTAGTCAGGCCAATGGTGATTGGGTATATGGCGCCGCTTGCAATCTTGATGTTTTTGGAGAATATCACTACCCAGGTAAGTCCATGTCTTCAAATAAAACAATCTGTGCCATCCATTTAACATAATATCAGGGTATCTTACCTACGATAATATACCATCTTCCATTCTCCTCTGCATTCACCTCCTCTGCATCTCTCCTGAACACCATTTTCACCTCCACTCGCTCCTTCTATCCTTTCTTCTTCACCACCTATCAGTTTGCCATCTTCTTTGGCCGCACCTCCATCACTCTCTTCCGCCTCCCCGGTGGTAATTCCGGTTCCAGCTTTGCCTATTGGATCCTCTGCGCCATTGAGTCGATCATCTTTGTCACAATGCTCAACCAATCATGGTCCATGCTCCCTTCTTCATTCACTGACAATCCCGACGGAAACGTTCTCTTCTCTCCATTCGTCGTGATGGCATTGATATTCTCAATGGGTCTATGCGGAGGCCTCGGTATGAGTAATACATACTGGCGAGTTTCAAAGAAGCCACTTCCCGAGGCGGTGTGGAATGCGCTCGATAAGGCTCGTTCCAAGAGGTTGCGGAAGAAAGAGAGGAGCTTTGATACCCAGGAGGATGGAATCTCGACACCTCTCGACGGTGAGCAGGATGGGTATTTTGCGCCGAGGCCGAGATTGAGGAAGTTAGTCTCGATGCGGGGAAGTGCGGGAGAAAGATTATTGAGTGAGGAGATGGAGGAGCCGGGAAGCGAGGCAAGCGTGAACATAAAAAGGACTCAGGAGGAGGAGACGGCAGTTAGAGAGTTTTTGATCTCAACCATTGCATTGCCGGACACTTTTGCGATTATGGTGGCGAGCATTGTGAGTATGTGGTTGCAGCCAGAGTTGTGTAGATGGCAAGTGCAAGGCGGGAGGGATCTTTGTAAGATGGGATGAGGGGAGTGACTTTTGGCTATGTGAAGTAGCGGGGTTTTGTATTATATCCACAGTTGTTTCCTTCTTAATTACATAGTAATCTTCTTGATCCTTTTTTGCAAGCCGAGCAGTGGGTCAAGCTACGCGATATCAAAAGCACAGTACATACAGAGAAGGTGCCTTAGGCCTTCAATACATTTTCAGAACATACGACGGCGACTAGATGCTACTGAGTGATAATTTGATAAATAAAACAGAAATTCAAATACATCATGATTCAAGACGCTGCGTGAATTAATGAATTAAATAAAAAAGATAAAAAATATAAAAAAGACGCTGCGTGAGCCCGCGGGACTGAGAGTGACTCCTTATGATCCTGTCTCTTCCGACCCATTTCAGTAGGGTAGGGTGTGTGTAACACGGGCAAAACAAGAGAGGTTTTGGCACAAGCCGTTGTACTACATAGTGCTACAATGTGGGGTAGGAAGGTTTTTCCCTCACACCTTTAGCATGTGTGAGCTGCAAATCTGGTAAAACCACCCGGTGTCTGGTTGACTCTCAACACTCACCAGCACCTACAGGCGAGATCAGGCAGGGTCCCCGCAACCACCAATTTTTTTCGCATTTCAAACTCGGGTTCCGAGCTCTCGGTAGTGGGATGCAGCAAAGATCCCCATATTCTCGCACTGATGGTGTGTAGGCACTCTATCAGACGGATTTGGTGTGGTAGTGCTCTAAGTATACCTAAATTCCACTACACCAAGCTTTGTCGACCTTACTATTGCTTTTCTCGAATCCTCGTTTGTAGAATTTGGAGTTAGAAGTTCTTTGACAGAAAACCAGCTAGTCATTTCACGCTTGAAGCTGTTCTGAAGTCCAGCGAAAAAGAATATGTTTCCTCGGGATAACCATTCCTCTATGGTGGCATCGGTGCCGATGTCTGCATCCCGCCCTGCGTGCGGGTAACCTCGATTCTAGGTCGAACCTATATTATGTGCGTACAATTAGGAAGATCCTTGAGTGCGATCCATAAAGCATTAATGACTGATATGTATTCGCCATTGAATCAAAAATTTTGCCCTCCGTATTCCAAATTAACAGCTCAATGCCCATGGGACCAATATCAGAGTGCCTATCAACCGCGTCATTCAACATAACCACGCACTTTTCATTACTACGTATGCCGACCACGTACCTATCCCTCAATGCCTATGTTGTCCCGGTAGTAAGTAGACCAGTCACTCGTATTTTTGAACTTGAGCGATTCAGACGAAGTGTGCTCGGCAGGTTGATATATTGATCCAGTGATGTCAGCCCATTCGTAATTAACTACTGTATGGGTAGTTGTGATCAGGTAGAATATCATTTCTTCCAAAACTCAAGGGTCTCTTGTTTTTCCGAGAGGGAAGGATGTAGCGGCTGCGTGGGGGGTGGAGATGGATGGAAGACGTACATGTATGTAGATCACTTTACGGCTGATAGGCCCGTTTCGGCGTCCCATGTCTTACTAGGATCAGCTAACCAACCAGAAAACCAGCCAACCACACTCTGTGGAGCAGAGCCTCACTATTATCAACGCGCCCGCCCCGCCCTTCCCCGCCCCGCGTGCCCGGTCATATACCAAGCCTCCAATCTGTTTCCTTCTCACAACCATTCTGTTTACTCATAGAGAATCAGTACTGAACTGAGTAGAGAGAAATTTATCCAACTGCTAAACACAGCGGAGGCGGAGAGAAGGGAAAAAGCGGAAGCGAAATATGGAAACTAGAGGGCGGAGGAAGGGTGACCGAGGTGGAGTAGCCGGTCAGTGCTAATTGCCTGGAAAAAGCAAGTAATGCCAGATGTGGAGGGTGCAACAAGCTACGCCTGCAAATTCGATGAAGGTACCAGTACCTAAGATACAAGCTACCAAGTTACTACTCTAGATGCTCCCACAGTACCTATTCCTACATATCTCAAGACGGGATACCTACTGCAAGGTGATGTTTGTGATTCACATTCTTTGCACCTAGCGATCTGGCCAGTCTGAAAGCATCCCGGCGTCCTCCCTTCTGTTCGTCCCGACTGGGCCACGCATCCCAAAAGAAAAATAAAAAAGAAAAAAACCATGACGACATGTTCAGGGTGCATACGAATTTTTTTTGCGCCTTTACAGTGGATAGAGAGCGTTGGATGTGTCTCACAGATAAGAATCGGCGTCCCAGCTAAATCATGAGCACTCCGAGTGCAAATCTGTGAATAGAGATAATTTCTTTAAACTGGATATGAACACTGTACGTATAACGAGTGACAGACCATGAGTTTGCAGGGAAAACTAAAAACGACCAGCAAATTGACCTCTCGAACTTTAAAGAGTTGACGAGTATTATTCTAGAGCATAGTCGAGCGTCTTTCGGTGAAATCTTTGCTCTGATCCGTTAACTAATTTCCTGATCGAATCCACATCCAATCACTCGGAACAACCAAACTATTTGGGGGGTAAGTGTAGATATATCCGACATGTATGTATTAGAGTAAACCGAAATAAATGACGGTTGGTTGCTTCGTTGCCCCACGTCCGGAATTTTCCCTTCACTTCAGAGGATGGCAAATCAGATAGAGATATTGTTGAATTTCTGCCAGCAACCCTTTTCGGACTGCCTGGTGAGGTGGTACCATACTGACTGACCAATTAATAAGTGTGGGTATGATGATTTCCTCCCATTTTTTTCCTTTTATCATGACGCATGTAGGATTCATACATTCACTCTCCTCTTTGCCGAGGGCCCATGCCCATCAGCGTCCCCATTGTTTTTGTCGCTGTATGTTAGAAACGCCAATTGACTAACTGGACCGACTCACTTGGCTTTCTCTCAAAGGCCGCGATCTAGAGTTAGTTTGTAATTACGTCTGGTTTTGTGTAAGCGTCCCTTTTTGAACGAGAACTGTAATGCCACGAATGGTGCACGTATTGAAAAAGATGTGCTCCTGAAAACGAATAAACTCCAGAAAAGGCCCAGCTACTTGTGTAGCAGAGATGACTTTGAAACCCCCACATAATCCGTTTAATGGGGACATCTCATGCATGCCTACGCAATATTGATCAAGAGCGTGTTCCGAACCCCGTCATTCTGTCAGTCGTGACAATATCATTCAAGCAGTTTATCTCTAGCCCTTTCTACTCTACCCTGCGCAGAGAAAGAATGTGCTGTGTTCCGTTCGTTAGAACAAACCCCGGCCCAGCGGTCTTAGGAATAATTGCGCGCGAGTAAGAAATGCATGAAACCCTGGCCACGTCGGCTTTGCATTAGGAAGTGGTGAATTTTACCCCGCCCGCCCGGTAAGCGCAGTTCGATTTTGGGCAACACCTCTGATGCGGGCAGAGGTGTGAACGCGAAAACTTGCTTCGCTTGTTAATATTATTTTCTACTGCCAATTGCATGCCAAGCAACTAGCACAATATATTAGATCACCTGCGACACGCAGTGTAAGGAGCAGTCTGCCTGATTGGACTCGCTTCTATACCAATGGCTACACGAATTTTGAGCCTCAATAGGTGTGCATCTTGATAAAGCCTGGGGGAGAATGAAACCGTAGGTCTATAAACAGTCGTTCGTCGAAGTTTTGTGCTTTTATCGCAATTGTCTAAGATCTTTTGAAAGACCCACAATAAAGATCACCTAAAACCCACCCACTACATCCAATAGGCATGTCACAATTTTCCCCAGAGGGACCACGGACAAGACGAAACTCTGACGCTGCTTCGCAGTACTCCATACGTTCTGAATTTTCGTGTAAGTAATATAAGAGCTCCGTCCCCTAACTATTAGCTTCTAGACCTTAGAAATAGATCCCGTTGGAAATAGATATTTGATTTTCTGATTGTGTGTTCTGTAATAAATAGGGAAAGGATTGATCCAAGACCCAACTCGATATCGCGAAACTCCGATGGCAACATTCCTGGGGGATGACTCCCTTGATCTCGTTGCCCCTGTCCCTTTCGACGACAGTTCCAGCAGTGACGACGGCGAGCCTTGTGAGAGGCTCCTCGAGATACCACTTAAGCAACGGGGTCGCCATCTCTCCTCTCCAGTTCCCGCCTTAGACAACAGCAGCATGACCACCCTGAACAGCTCTGGTCTTTCCTATATCGTTCATCCCCAGATGTACAGCCTTCAGGACGAAGGTGGTGGGGTTTTGTCTACAGGACGTCATCTTCGCCCAGTTGCAGTGAACTACTCCCCAAAGAGAGGATCTTATCGATGCCTGTTTGCGTTCAATGCTTGCCCAGACTACTGCACCCCTGAGACTTGGGTCAGTCACGTCGAGTCCCACCTCGATGGTGTCGACCCGCCAAAGTCTTGCAAATGTACAATATGCGGAGAAACCTTCGAGACAGACACCCCGGCCATCACTTGGAATCGATTCTTGCATCATGTGATAGGCCATAGGTACCAAGGGAGTGTCATTCCTGATGCGGAATTCCTAGAGTATTGTACAAACAACGATATTATTTCGGAGCTCACAATGAGCAGGTCGGATCAACGTTTAGGAAAACCGCAGACGACGAGGTCACAGGAACCGCATATGTATAGGGGGAAGACCCCGAGACGGTTTATCAATGCGAGCGATAGTGTGGCTAGGGTGGATTATCCCCATGATTGGTCGGCACAGACAGAGAGGCAAGAGCTAGAATGTGTGCTGGTCCCAGCAAGGAAAGAGCGTATCAGAGCTCCCAGAAATAACCAATCATAGCATCTATCCGGCCTGCTTGCTTGCAAGTTAGTCCCGAGGCTCGGAATCTGGTATTTCGGAGGGATTGATATCCGAAGCTGAGCTTCATTTGTTACTGGTTTTCCCTGTTATTGGATGCTTGGCGTTCTTCAGCTTATTCTTTGGTTTCTTGCAAATAATGTTTTGTTTCTATTCGTTTGTCTCCAACTTGTTTGGAGAAACTCTCATTGAAGTTCGTTATGAAGTCGATGTTTTAAGGATGGACGTTATGAGTCTCCTCTCTCTTTTATGGCGGCGCCTGGACATGTATATGGTTGAGTTATTATATCATCTGTTTTTGGGACACTCGTTCGAGTTAGCATTGTATATCTCTCAGGAATTGTATTTGTTCTTACCTTCTAAGCCGGTTCTCTTAAGTCAATGCGTATGAAGTCGACAAAGAATAGGGACGAAGAAGAATCTCCCTTGAGGGGATTTCTGTGGGGTTAAGTAGGAAAGATGTTGGTGACGTCGGGCAAGGCTGCGCACAAGATTCGCACAGCCCTCTGTTTGGACCTACATAAGCGCCAATCTGCCTAGTCCTACTAAACCCATCAATTCAATTGGGCTGGGGCCAAATTTAATGGGTATTTACATATCACGAGGTGTTGCCTGAGTGAGCTGAACTTTAGGAGTGTTGAGCGAGGCAATGATTTTTTTTTCTTACCCCTGCAGCGGAGTGTTGCACCGATCGTCGTTGGTCGAGTCATACTTGAGGAATGAATCTTTCTATGTCGGCAAGACTCATATGTAGCTGAGAACTCCTATCGGCGGGGTTATTCTTAATCCATCCTCAGAGGCTTAATAGCTAGATGCAAACCGCGCTCGTTCGAGCAAGTGGTTAATTTCCAAAACCTTATTTTACACTTGCTACATGTATTCGTTCCCATAGACGTACCCACACGGATTCGAAGTCGCCTACATACCGACAGCTAGAATGGCAGCCAACCATCTGTCAAAATGTTGTCATAGGGGCGCAAGGCAGGAGGATAGTTCGGCCTCATTTTACTTTTTTGACTGAGTCTCTTCTTCTTTTTTCGATCGACAGTGGCTATGCCAAAGCGGATGGAAGTAAAATCATACATCACAGGCCCAACAAAAGCTATCTAGTTGAGTATTCGAATCCTACTTCTCGAATCCTCTCCGGATAAAAAGCAATTGCCCAGGAGATGTCAGGAGCCAGTGGGATTATCTATCTTAAGCCGTAGAATTGAACGAAAAATCCCGAATTAGGCTAACTAGTATTTCTGATTTTAATGGAGTACTCTAGAAATCCGCTCTGTGTGGTTTCGTCCAATGGCTTCCAAGAGTTTCTGTCTTAGATGAATCCGGAGAGACGTACAGAAGATAGGATCATGTACCTACTGGCCCAAGTACGTACCTCTAGAGTGATTAGTACTTATGTTTATCTACACACTACAAACACTTCAGGGTGTACGTCTCTTGAAGAAATATTGTAACTTTTCAATATGGTAACGCCGTCTATATATTTGGTTTACTAAAATTATTTGATTTGAGAACACAGCTGCTGTGATATTATCAGGACGCTGAAAATCACAAGGACTCTACCTACAATCTATTTATATATATAATGGCACGGGTTTAATTGCTCTCGACAAGACCGGACTATTCATGGGAGGATGAGATCTTCTAGCTAAGTGCTTTCTAGAAGATGGTGGCCTAAGTCCTCCTGAGAAGGAATGTTCGACGGGTCTATGGGCAGTACTCAAATACATCCCTATGATAATGTGTATATACATATGCTCGTGGTACAATTGATGCCGACATAGTACGTAGCATGCATCTTCAGAAGGCTGAGAATGAGCTCGTGCCAAAGTAAACCTATAAAGGGGTTCCTAATTCCTGCAATAAGCTATATATATGTCTCTAATGCACCAGTAAAGGTGATGTAGAATACTCCCATTGTACTATTGAAGACCCGTACCACTATCTAACTCTCTGGTATGGGTGTACAATGCATTCGCGGTGCGCGTGCTCGGACTGCTCATGATCAAAGAGAAGCCATATACATACATGTACATGTATACATGTAGGCCGACGTGTTTTTGCTCTCTAGCTTTGAAGAGGTACTTGTAGATACTTGTAATGTCTGTAGTAGATTATGGTACCAGTTTTACTGATAAGGCAAGATCCTACGCGTATCGATAAGACGGCTTAAGTATGTAACTACATCAGCGTACATGTAAAGTAAAGTACCTACACACATCTTGGCAATTGTGTAATTCGTGGGGGTACCTACTCCAAATGCCTGCACCCCTGTAGTCTGCACACCTCGATATATATAACCCTAACCCTCGATAAGCATCCCGCCCGATAAGGATCTCAACCATGTTAATAAGTAATACTATCAGTGATTCTATTAACCGCCAGCAATTGCCTAAATCCCCCTTTAATACTCTATGTCGAAAAGACCTGTCATCATAACAAGCTCTCCCCACAACATTCCTCAACGGCAAAGAGATCTCAAGAATGAAAGACAACGACGAGGATGCGGGCAGGGGCTTGCTTTCAGAGCAGATTGATCAGTACGGAGCTTTGTCGAGATCAAGGTCCAGGTCTAGACGACGATCAGGAGAAGAAGATGATGATGCTGCCTTAGCTCTGTTTAGAGATGAACAGGAATTGCATGAACTTATCGACCCTGAGAAGGAGGGAAAATTGGTTAGAAAGATTGATCTCATGATCTTGCCATAGTGAGAGCCCCCAGGAAACCCAAATAGTTTATAACAGACTTAAACTCACAGTACTTAGTTTAGCAATTTGCTATTGCTTCTTTTACATCGATGTTCGCAATCCCAAAGGAGCTTGGCCGAGGAAGTAGTTGAGCTAACATGGGAATAGAAAACAACTTTATCCTATGCGGCTTTGTTCGGCATTGGGGAAGACTTGGACCTTCATGGGAATCAGTATAACTGGCTGTCCGCTGTTTTCTATATCGGTTTTCTAATGTAAGTGCTATGTGCCTATTGATATCTTGCGTGAATCGCTGATAATATGTAGGTGGGCATTCCCTACGAACTTCCTTTTGCAGAGGTTACCGGTACATCATATTACACCAGACAATCAAACAAACAGGCTAGAGACTAACATATATACGTACGTCTCTAGGTTGGAAAATATTTAGGCATAAACATCTTCATGTGGGGGTTTTTCTTGAGTACGTTGTGACATAACCTCCGATCATATAAACCGGGATATTTGCTCAGTAACGAATTTCTATCATAGTGTGGCAGGCAGCTTGCAAAAACTTTGAGAGTCTGGCAGCGCTACGAATTCTGGGAGGTGCCGCAGAAGCTTGTGCAGATCCTGCCTTTATGCTGATAACTTCAATGTGGTGTAAGGCCATCCTTTCTCCGCTCTTAGATTAACTAGGGTGTACTAAATTTAAACCATCGAAGACACTCGGAGACAGCAACCCATTCGCATTGGGCTCTGGTACTCAGCAAATGGACTTGGAATTGCTGGAGGTGGGCTGTTAGGGTATTCAATTGGTCACATCAAGGGCGCTCTTCCGTCTTGGAAATACGAGTTTCTTATTATTGGGTAAATACTCCGCTTTAATGACTTCCTCACAGCCAGACCTGTTTCTGACACTATCGATAGCGCGCTCTGTTCAATTTGGGGAGTAGTGATGTTCGTCCTCCTTCCTGACTCGCCTGTCACCGCGAAATTTCTGTCGGGGGAGGAGCGGAAACTGGCAGTCGAACGTCTTAGAGCAGATCAGACAGGGATCGAAAACAAAACGTTGAAACCATATCAAGTATTGGAGGCATTCAAGGACTATAAGACGTATTTCTTTTTCGCTTTGGCGACTGTAGCAAATATTCCAAATGGAGGGATAAGTAATTTCGGTATGTATATGTGTATTGAAGGACATGCATTTATGACCACTGTTACAAACCCTGTACTTGATGGATTAATAAAGAAAATTAAGTGATCAAAATCAATGCTACAAATAGCTAACTGTGACATCTTTGAGTAGGGACATTAATTATTAAAGGGTTCGAGTTCTCGACCTGTAAGTACATGTAGCCTAGGTGCCTGCCTCACAATGCCCTACGCCCGCTTTACTAACAAGTAATCTCTAAAGTGGTCACAACACTTCTACAGATCCCTTACGGCGTCGTCATATCAGTCTCAATTCTATCTTGTGTCTATATCAATGATCGTCTCCCCCCAAACAGCCGCTGCAAAATGGTAGCTTTATTCATGATCCCCAACATCATAGGCTCATTTGGGCTATTTTTTGTTCCTCTAGATTACCATGTTTCTCGGCTGATGTGTTATTATGTATGTTCCCCGGTACCTTGATGATTTTGGTTGCTCGTTAACACGAGGTTAACTTTTTAGATGACCGGCCCTTACAATGCGGCGTTTGTGCTAATATTATCACTGCAAATTGGAAATGTTGCCGGGTGAGATTTACCCAAACCACCATTCGGCCCTGCACAAAGAGAGCTAACCAAATTTTCACATTCAGTCACACCAAGAAGGTTGTTTCCAACGCCGTCACCTTTCTGGGATACTGTTTCGGCAATCTCATTGGGCCTTTCTTCTACAAAAGCAGTCAAAGTCCTACGTACCCACTTGGAATCGCCACTATGATTATCTGCAATATTGCGGAAGTCGTAATTATCTTGATGCTTGGGATTCTATTGGCAAGAGAGAATAAGAAGAGAGATGAGTTGCAAAAGGGAGTGGAGAGGGACCTGGATTCGACCGCATTTTCAGACATGACTGATAGAGAGAACGTAAGCATACTTCTGAAATTCCTCAATCAAACTTGCAAACATTAGAGTGTACTGACGACTAGGCGCAGATTAACTTTAGATATGTATATTGATATATTGGGGATTGATTCAAGACACAGGAGGTACCAGCTGCGCAGTGGGGATAAACGGTGTTTATGAATCATGATAGAGACGTTATTCATTATTTACAAATCATAACTTCGTAAAGACACCTCCGACCTCCATTAATTAAGTATTACATGTTTCTATGCAGCCTGCACATAGGTAGGCATCCTTCCAGCTACAATCTTGTCCTGCTAGATATAGAATTAGACGCCATGAAAAAAGAAAAAACAAACCCAACCCCTCTAGAGTCCCATGCTTAATAATAACCAGTCACAAAAGATTGTGAAGTCGTGCCCCCAAAACAAAAGAAATAAGGTAAAGATAGAAAGAAAAAAGTTTACAAAGAATCGAATAGTGTGTAGCACTCGACATGCCAATGGAACATTACTGCCACGAAAACCGCGTATCAGTCTTGCTGCCAGCTTTTGATGAAAGTTCCGAGTCTCTCCGACTTCCAGTGTTACTGCTCTGGGATATATCGATCATCATACTCCAATCCATCGAAGTCCCTGCACTCGACCTTGTTGAGTTTGGTCGAAACCCTTGTCGGACCTCCAAAAACGCTCTTTGCAGTTCCGAATCCATCGTCTGAAATGTCCCTATATCCCTAGTCGGTGACGCTGTCTCCGAGACTTCCGAGATCCTTGTGATTGGACGATGCTGTGACATCGGCGGCACCTCCGGGAGCACCTTCTTAGGTTCCATGGTGGTGAGTGCCGCCGATGATCTCCGAACTTGTGCCGGGAATGTCGGTGGTTTTGGGAACAAACTGAACCCCCCTCTAACCTGGTCCGCAACCCGCGGTGGAAACTGCTGTTCTACATCCCTCACTGGTGCCGGTTCCGCCAAAGCCATTGAGCTTCTATTCCAACCCTTCACACCTGCAAAGCTTGATATTGAGCGGCGGGCCTGTTTGCGTCTTCGGATCACGACGAAGATGGCAACCAGCATCAGCACTATGCTGACTGGTGCCAGGACGAAAACTGCAGTGAGAGCGCGCTGTTTGAGACTAGGTCCACGGGTGGATTGGGTGTCGGCCTGGGATTCAGATGAGGTTTGGGGTGCAGAAGCATCTGTGGTTAGGGAAACGGAGGTGGATGTTGGCAAGCGTTCCAACTCTGTGGGATAAGGCGCTGTGGTCGTTGGTGCAACGATAGAAGATATGGTAGGGGTAGCAGTGCTAGTTGTAGTTAAGCTTGACGTTGGCAGATATCTCTTGCACTCTTGAGCTAGGCTCAAATATGAGATCTCCTCGCCGCAGGAATCGTTTGTGCAGAGAGTGGTTTTGGCATCTAGTAGTGACTTGCAGACACAGTCCGCCTCGAGATCTGGGCATGTTGAGATGAAGCATCGCTGAAGGCAGGTAGCCTTAGCGAGTGTTATTAGGGTAGATGCTCTAGCGACCTGAAGAAAAACGAAGATTAAAAGAAGAGACCGACGAATCCAGCCGCCAAAATTTAGAACCACCATGGTGATGTATAAAAAAAGGTCCAAAGAAATGAAAGAAATTAAGAAAAGAAAAAATGGATATCGTGCCGTACCTCACAGAGGCCTTGAATTTGAAAAAACTTCCCCTTCAGATAAGAAGGTTAAACTTAAGGAACCTCATGTAGATAGGCGAGGAGGGAGATCCTATATAAACCGTGTTTGAGTATGGGTTCCATGACCATGACAATTCCCTGCTCCTGCATGAAGATAGGAAACCTCCTGATCGAGCGAGCCCGCGGACGTGCAGCAGGTCCTTCCTTCTTAATTAGCAGCATAGGCCTTCCTGAAGTGTCAAACGTACCTGCATCGCCGCCATAAGTACTTCTTTCTATTCTCGTTACGTGAATTTTTTTCTACTCTACGTAACTGTACGTAGCAGCTCTCTTCCGTTGCTGCAGAATTTTCCCCTCGCCATCTGGCCACGAAAAGAAAGCTAAGCGCCGACAGTATGCAGGTACAAACTTCGGACGTATGGGCTAGGTATTTCTGGAAATACCCAAGTTCGACTATGACTTAGTCCGCACGCCCGATAGGTATGGTATCTTACTAAATTTATTTCTCAAAGTGGGCAGAGTTGAATATAATAATAACTCGTCCACACATATGATACATTTTATATTTTAGCGGGCGCGTCGACTCACTAAAGAATTAAGACAATCTATCTCTTTTCATGCTGTAAATTGAACTGGATTGATCAGTACGGAACCATGATGGAGAGCTAAGAGGGTTACATGTAGTTACCTAGAGGATACATGTATCCAAAGTTTCTATATTCCGATTCTATAAAGAATATTCTACACGCACACTGCATGCTTTTGATAAAGATCCCATGACTGCTGGCGTCGGTGGAAACGCCTGTGGTAGTGAATACATGTACCCGCGAGTATGTACTCATCGATCGACGCTTGCCCCGCGTTTGACTGTTGCTTCCAACCGCCTGGTGAGCGTCAAAGAGATGGGCGTAGCAACGAGGGTTAGGGGAGATATATATGTAAGCTCTAGCCCTGTACGTGCTGCTGTACGTGTTGCTGTACGTACAGTGTTTCTCGGAAAGTCAAAACAACTTGAAGTACTATTAGATCTAGTTTAAAACAATGAATGTAGGTACGTGTGCCATTCTCGATGATCTTATCTCGTTTGTAGCGTCTATTAATTCTCTGGATCCATTGCGCATGCATGCGACGTACTCCAGCCACTCATGAGTCTGCCAGCTTTCTTCCTGGGATCCCATCACCAGCCATAGGTTGAGGCTACAGCTAGCTATTTACATCTGCCCACAGTTGGTGGAGAGTATCGGCAAAACTATTAGCCTTCAGCGGTGTTCGAATTCTGTCTCGAAGCTAAATAGATTAACGTGGCGTCAAAACTAAACGGTCTATTGGGTATGTAGTCCAACTGGCACGATAACCTATAACTGGTTCGATAATACATGTAGTATTCTTTTACTGAGTACTAACTCGCATGTAGGTACGTACGAACGCAGCAGCATGAATCAACTGGGAGGTGGATTATTCAACACCACCGATCTCCCCCGAGCGATATCCATGGTAATACGGCCAGAATTATCAACTCGGATAACAATTCCGTCCAGAATTTCTATGTTTAATCTGAGCTGCTGCTGCACAGAAATGCCTACAGTCGTTCATGGTGGTCACTCGACGTCGGATATGGCCTGTTGAGGAGCAGGGTCTATGTAGCAAAGGATTACATCTATGGCGAGAAACAGCTAAGCTGCAGTAAGATTACTAGTTTCTCTTAATTTCTATTGGCCAGGACTCCCCTGTTCGTCATTGACAGACAGTATTTGTGACCTAGTGACCATGAACGACCGTACAAAAAACCGCCCCCGCACCGTGGCGGCGGGGCGATAAGCTAGCTAAGCACGACGAATTGGAATAGTGAAATAGGCTCGATTTCAACGAAATGATCCGAAAAGGAGCGAGGATTCAACAATGAAAAAAAACAAAAAACAAAAACATCTCGGCGGTGAGACGTAAGATTATAGCTGATATGTAACAAGTACGGAATATGCCAACATTCCTTTTGCTTTGATACGAAACATATGCGTGATCATGAACAACCATGTGTTTTCCAACAATGTTTTTGCTGACGTTTCTAGCGCTTTAGCGGGTACTCTTTGTACTAAGCTAGCTGCAGCGTGGTATCTGTAGTTGACTTCATGTGTGTAGGTACATGTGGGCAGTCGTCTTTACCGCGCAGTTCCCATAACGTAACACATCAAAGACACGCGTTTGCTGCACTTCCAAGATCACCTTTACCAATGGAGTCACCCTCTCCCGATCTTACATTCTTCAAATCGGACTTTCAAAAGACGTTAGTCACCGTATCATGGTCATCTAGTGGGATGTTAACCCCCCTCCTCCTCCCTCCTCCAAGAAAGCTGCGATTCCACAAGCTCGATTGGGATAGCTACATATAAGCATACATATATTTCACCAGAGCCATCTGAGCGGGGTACTCATCACCAGGATTTTAGGCAAGAAAGACTACATTTCTTGGTCTTATAATCTGGCATCTGCGAGTGATTCCTTATGAGGCAGTCAAAGTATACAGGGTTAGGGTTAGGCGGTTCATACGATCTGGCAAGGCTGTATCTGGGTCATAGCGAAGATTCCGTGGATCGAAGCAAGGACAATATTCGTAATCGTTGCCGACCCAGGAACCAGAAATTAGTGAGCAGCGAGCACCCGGTTTTGAGCTTATGTGACAATTATACCTGGTAAGCTACAACATGTACCTACCTATGGACCCCATTCCTCCCCCACACCACGCGAAGTTGGGTGTTATGCTTTACATGAGTGATCTCAACACGTTTTCACTACGTACTTGTGCATGTCTGTAAGACATTCGGTATCAGCCTCGGGATGATCATGTTCGAATCGTGTGCTACATATCTTGGCGGTTTTGGGCTTGGGTTCTCTCCCAGGTAAATATCCCTTCTGATACCTTCTCTGACCACCCTTGCTTCACGCCCCGTTTCAGGAGCCTTCAGCAAAGGAACACCGATAGACATCGGTGTGGGTACCCAAGAAAATAACACGAAACCCTCCATGGTCAACTGCAGTCCATACAGTACCTTTTGGAAAAACAAAAAAATCACCTCATATATGTACCACGAAAACAAAGCAGCCTAGCGACCTCGAAACATCATGCAGTACCCCGCTTCTAACCTGGTTTGATGATTTTCTCTGATTAAACGGATATTCATAGCACCATTCCTGTTTGGAAGCCACGAGCGAGCTATCACTACTACACTGCGTACAGACGAATTGCATACAGGAGCAAACATGCGCGAAATCATCCATCCTATTGAAGGATTGTAGGATTAGACTCGGGTGAATCACGGGAGGGAGATAAGGAAAGCATTATATTGATTGCCATTTTTGATGGCGATTTTCGTAGGATCGGATGGCCCCGTTCAATCTCTTTCCTACATGATACGTCCAAGTGGCCGGGGAAACTGCAATGTTTCGGAAAAGATTGTGTAGGTAGGTAGGTACATACAGGCCTGACTGCTCCTCCCGTCAATAAGTCGACCGGCATCTTTGAAGGAATCTTCAGCCAATAAAGCGAAAGGTCACTGCGGTACATTATAATGGTATCCGTGAGTGGTGCAATTCACATGGTGGCTTTATCGATCCTTTATTGAGACATTTATTTCTAAACTGATTTAGAATAACCGATCTCGCCGCACAGTTAATGCATTCGCTGGTGCCAATACAGACTTCCCGCTATGAGAGATTGAATTGGAGAATGATGGGTCATCAGCCCAGTAGAGTATTCTTCTCAGATCCCCAACTAACTCTTTAACCTGGGTAGCTCCTAGTCACCTTAAACCGCCTTTATACCGTGCCTAATAAAATCCCGAAGTTTAAGCAAAAGAAAAAAATAATGCAGGCAGTTGGAAAAATCACAATAGTCCTCCGGAATCAGCTCATGATGGAGGAGTTCCTTTCCAGCCCGCTTTACCCTAATCCCATTTTTACTAAAAAAGAAACAACTAGTCATAAAACTGGTTATCTACTAACTGCAGGGTTTAAACAAATTTTGTCGTTGTATACAGATACATGTAGTAAGGCAAGTGGCTACTATGGATGGACCCACGCTCCAGGATACCGGATCCATTTTTAATGTGTCTCCGAGACAACCGACCGGTTAACCACCGACCTGCCTTACAAGCCCTGCAAGCCATGATCATCGCCGATCCTATTAATTGATCAAATTTGTAAACCAGTAAAGTTTTCAGGTAAAACAATTCACTCAAGCGAGCGTAAGATGAACTAAATATCCTACTCCAGATTTCCCAAGTACTATCTACAGAGCAGAGTAGAAGCACATGCATCTTTTATCAAAACCAAAGGCAAATGTTGTATATCGAAGAATTGATCCAGGGCTGGGCCCTAGCGTTCGTCTTACGGCTTATCTTTCACTACATGTATAATTCGATCAATATACCTGAGTTGTCAACTATGGAGACAGCCACTTCTCGGAATGGAATGAGTCGTGTCCACGTGCCTTGTTTGGCCTTAAAAGGCTTAGCAGGGGAACGATCTCTGTCAGCCAAAGAGGGGGGGGGGGGGGGAGGAGAGAGAAGGAGAGAAGGAGAGAAAGAGAGAAAGAGAAGGTGTAGGAGAAAGAGAGAGGGAGAGAGGAAGAGAAAGAGAGAGTGCCTGTGTGTGTGGGAGGTAGAGGAAAACATCAGAGTGAAGCTAGTTCTGGTGATACATTGTAAGGAGGGGAAGACTTCAATAGCACGTTTCCAGGTGAGTGGAGCTAATTTTGATTCGGGGCGAGTGAAAGGTTCCCGGATTACAATGTAGGTACAATGCTTAGATTAAACGGAACTAATCTCAACTCGGTGGTTCTATGGCCCAGTCATGTCAACCGACTTGGATATCAATAACTAGTCCATGCATATATGTGCGAGTGCGAACCAGTTATAATCAGAACAATTTACTCTAGGCAAGTGTTCCGCAGACTCATTTAACTACATGTAGTTGTGTACTGATTACCTACCTTGTCGATGTGTTTTAACGCAAGTGATCCCTGTGGAGAAACCTGCGGGTATGTACTCTACTGTCCTTTAAGTTTCCCTGTTTAACAGTGGCCACTTACTGTAGATCTTGGGGGGGTGTGGGTTATGTGCGCCTAAAAATAATACCGACCCAACAATTATTGCGCCCAAGTTGATTGACAGGGACCCCATATCTGACCCACACCCATACATGCATAGAGTAGGTAGTACATGTATGAATGGGCATGTAGTATTCACTGATAGCTACATACCCTACTAGTTAGCTAAGCATCTAACTGGGAATGTAGTCCAAGAGAAGACGTCGCCTTGTCTGTAGGCGTCTGCATACTTTGCCGTAAACTAGACCGGCGATATCTGTAAGGGCTCGAAGGCCTCCACTTAAGCTACCTACGTAACTACTAGGGTGGAGATCCGGGGCGCCGAGGGATAAAAAACTTATAAGCCACTGAAGGAAATAAGGTTCCTTCCCACTCCCCCATGGGGTACAGCAGTATACTTCATCCCCCACCTGGATCTACCCTCCCCCCCCCCGCGCTAACTACCATAAATACTCTGCTTCAATTCTACATTTCTCTCTCTCTATCTCCCTATCTCCTCCTCCTCCTCCTCCTCATCACTCTGTGCATACCAAATAGAGCGTGGCGGCGCCAACAGATCATACAGCTACCAATTGCAACCCACATAGATAAAATATCATGTCACTACAAGGCGACCCGGATCCTTCTGATCAGGCAACAGGATTGCCCAACTATAACTCAGACATCCAAGTTGACCCTTCTTTTGTCAGTTGCCTGGTATCAACGCCTTATTCATTACCTCCGACTGATTCAATTCTTTGCCAGATCTCCCAAGACTCGTGGAGCGACGAAAATTCTTACTACGTAAGGTAGATACAGGCCTATGACTGTGATGGTCTGGAAGATAGGAAGATAATTGACGGGTGTACTTGAATAGAAGCGGCGAGTACTCGGACGACTCATTGAGATCCTCCATCTATGAGTAAGTGGCCCAGGACTACCTTATACTCGGCCCATACATACAATGTCTCCTTTCATCTCCTTCATAATGAAATGGCGGGACTAAGGTCATAACGATAAGTTTAGATATCGATTTGAAAATGGCCGACGCTACCACGCATACAAGGACGGGTAGGTGTTTTCCGGGTTGTCCCACGGCTTATCGCCTTATTTAGCTATAAGCTTGTGAGACTAAGAAGTGGATCCTCTAGGAAATATGCCATCCCGAATGATGAAGCGGAGCAGGATCGATTGGATACTATTCATCACATTTATCTGTTAATGCTTGACGATCAACTCCATCTTGCACCTATTGCGCCAAACCCCAGAAATATTCTAGATGTAGGAACAGGCACCGGGATATGGGCAATCGATGCAGCAGAGTAAGTGCTTCAAAACAAGGGGAGGATGAGGGCTCTAACGAAGTTTAATAGACGATATCCCACAGCGCAAGTCATTGGGACCGATCTTAGTCCCATTCAACCTAGCTGGTATGAGGCCAGAATTGATCCCACGCAGCCTTGCTCATAAACTGTGCATGTAATTGATTCAGTTCTCATATCGTCAATACTACAGGGTACCACCAAACGTACAATTTCAGATTGATGACGCAGAGATGGAGTGGACATTCGAAGAGAACACGTTCGATCTCGTGCACATCAGACATTTGACGGGGGGCGTCTCGGATTGGGACAAGCTTTTGAAGGAGGCCTACAAGTAAGCCGAAGAGAACCCTAAAAATAGTGAACATGTTGTTAAACCATTCCATATAGAGCATTGAAGCCTGGAGCATGGCTCGATCTTTCGGAGTTCGAATTTTGGCTATTCAGCGACGATAATAGCCTCCCCGTGACCTCCCCTATTTATCGTTATTACGAAGCCGTTAATAATGCCGCTTCTGCCAGAGGTGCTGAAGGCACTTACCTACGCCCTTTCTGTAAAGAAAATTCTTCTAATATTTCTTTGCTAGGTCGAGAATTCCGGAAAGCAGCTTGCCTGGACCAGCACATCGCTAATGCAGGCTTCATCAATGCCCATCATCTCCGGTACAAAATACCCTACGGCACATGGCCGGCAGATCGGAAGCAGAAAGAGATGGGTGCATATCTCTTGCTGACAGCAGAGAACGCGTTTGAGGCGTTTGCATTGGCGCCGCTAACGAGAGAGGCGGCCATGCCACTGGAAGAGGTGGAACAGTTGATTAGATTGGCGAAGAGAGATAGTACAAATAGGAAGATGCATTCTTATTCGTTGCAGTGAGTTTTTTTATTATATCTTTTGTTATGGACAAGTAAGGATTTATTGAGCTGACACCAGTGGGGATCCGGGATAGACATCTCTATTATGCACAGAAGCCAGAAACAGAGAATTCTTGAGGATATGAGGGGTTACACCGAATGCTTATTGGTTATTGGTTATTGGTTATGAGACTTTTTGATATAATTCAGTGCGAAAAGCCGTCGTGACCGGCGACTCTGAGACTTCTCTCACATTGATGTTATTACAAATGCAAGTCCAAATTTGCCAAGTCATCCATCCAGCCATATGAAATAAATAAATTTGGATTTTGTAGACATTTCAGAAAAGACCGTGTAACACTGCACTTAGATATACATGATACTCCAAGCATGTTTGGTATGTACATATGTACCTGTACGTATATGGAGCCCAATGACCTGGTACGCGGGCACATATTCCCTTGATGCTGAAGCTTCGAATCCTTGGGAGGCCGCATGGTGGCCCGAGCGTCTGGGGGAAAAAAATATGTCTGTAGTTATTCTGTAATAAATCTCTGCCTTCTTTTCTTTTATCGAACATTGGCGAAACAGTAACTTACACGTCGTCCCAGAAACAACTCAAAGCGAAAGACATGAGTACGCACATAAATTCTTGCCTTGGAATTACTGCGCACCATTGTTTACTTTTTCTTTCTTTCATAGATAGCTCACACTGCGTATAACTATTATAATTCTTTAAAATACAGAAGACTCGCCAGGATATCCTTATTATTTCCAAAGAAAAAGGAAAGAAAAAAAATAAAAAATCATGGTATTCGTGTTGCACATCCTAAACCTCTGTCTCCACATCGGGTTCTCTCCCGGTAAGTTTAGTTTTCGCCTTTAGTTTCCTCCCTGCAAACTTCATTTCATCTTTTGCGAACGCAATGCTCCTCATCGGTTTCCACTGCATCAAGCCTCTATGCTTCCGATGTGTTGTTTTTTGATTCTCTCGGTATGCTTTTATTGACTTGATAGGATTCATTGAGCCTGAATTTGTGGGTTCCTCCTCCGTTGAAGGTGGACTCACAGTTGTGACGTGGTGATATGAGGAGTCGGACGACGCTTCCGAGTCGCTGTCTGAGTCTGTATCAGAATCAGAGTAGTCGGAACGATTAGTGATGAGAGAGGAGTATGGTTGTACACCACGCTGATTGGGGTTTTCATTGAAGTCGGTAGTACGATATCGACTTTCTGGGGCTAAATCCCTTTTCCCAGCCTCGAAAACACCGGCCCAGTCTTTTCCATAACGATCCGTAAGACGATTTGTTTCGTCGACATCTTTGGGACCCTTGTCAAAGTCTGCAAGGTCGCCCCGCATCTGGGAAATGCTGTTGTCATGGAGTTCATCGATGATGGGGTTGGTTTCCTTGTGTACTATTGTCCCTCTGATTCCCTCGCTCCTGCAAGCTGCCCAAGTCTCAAACGTCTCCCTTGAGTCATTATCCGTGGCAAACCTTTCGTGATCTTCATCCATCCCCGCCTTGAAGCGCCCAGAGAAGACCAGTGTTCCGACTTGCTGCAAGTCAATACTTGGATCATCTTCTACACTTTCAATACGATTTTGTGTGAATCTCTGGGAGTTGGAAGTCTTGAAGATAGGGATACGAATTGGCGTTGGCTCGTTATCAACCAGTTTATCAAGCCAAAGGGTAGCATGTGCATCTGGGCCTCGTGAAGTGGGATTATGTGACGAGTCATAGAAGTCGAAGGTGATGGGTGACATATATCTATGCCTAACAGGGAGACGGATGCGATGTTGCTTCTCTTTCTTTCCTCTAACTAGAGCCCACTCAATAGCACCGGTTTGCGTTTTAGCGCCATTTTTGCGGGGGATCAAGCCAGTGGACCCTCCGGTTCTAAGTTTGATTTTTGCAACGGTAGGATATGACTCTGCGATGAGTGTTTCAGAGGTGAATTCAAATGTACCAACGTCCCACCCAGTAATTTGTCGTGGAAGGGTTAATTCAACACTTCTAAATAGGAGAGATAGACGAATACGACCAAAACCGATACCACCATCGAGGGGAAACCACCGAGTGACTTCAGAGTTCGTTTGGAGTATATCCGAAAGTTTTAGGGGAACTACACCGAGGATAGGGTCATGTTCACGGTAGCGTTGGTCGCGAACTGTGACGGTGATAATAGCGGAGCGCCAGTCACGGATAAAACGTTCGGTACCTGCGTTGAAAATCGGTTTGCTGCTTACTACCTTACTACGGGTGCGGTAAACCTAGATCAACTGTTGTTAGCTGGTGAGAAGTAAGGTTGAGGAGTAGGGGAAGAAATACAAGCTGATCGTTGATAGCAATTGTGCAGTAAGCGCTTGGTAGCTTTCCACCTTCCTCCTGCTTAATCTCCCCGGTTTCCATACCAGGGGAATACTCTTTCCCATTCTTCCTGTTACCATAGTTTCCAGTCAAATCTCTGATCTCCAGGTTGACAATCTGATGAACAACAAGGGATACGATCCCAGAAGGAAACAGCGGGTCTGGAGGTGTATGCATCACAGCATCCTCCAGTGTGTTCTCCAAAACGCCCTGATCATCCTGGAGCTCCGGCCGGTCTTTTAGTTGGTCAGGAAGGTTCACGTCCTTCCCGGATGTTCTCAGTGCAGGACGGAAGTCCGGCTTGCCGAAAAATCCAACCTCCCAATAAAGTTTGCCGGGCATACTTGTACCAGACTCAGCGCCAGTCAATGTTGAGACTTGCTCATGCATCCTTCCAGGGTTGAGCATAAGGTCATGAAGCGGAATTTCTACCTTTCCGACCATGTCGTCGGCAGTGACTTGGAGGTGTTAGTTTCTTTTTTAATTTCATGGCGATGGAATAAAGACTTACGTCTGTCTGAATCCCAGAGTTCGACTGAAAGAGCTTCGTTTGCTTTGATATGATCGGCTTTCACAAGTAATCTGACAATGTGTTAGCAGGTTAATTTTAAAAAATGGAATATGACTTACGCTGTGCTTTCCTCCCAGATGGGGTTAAGGTCATCGACGATCACTCGTGTCGAGTACATCGGTTTCTCATACTAGAATGTGTTAGTTTACACCTACTATACCAGGCCTGTGGATTCCTACCTTGCTATAGGCCAAAGTGATATAGGCGTCACTGCTGCCCCTCTTATCTTGCTTGCTCAATCCCACGGCCTTTTTAATCCTCACCCATAAGATACCAACCGTGTCAACCTCCTTCTTGACATCATCCCCAAGCAACATCTTTCCAATCTCGAGAGACATGCTTTTTGGTGCAACATACTCATTCGCAGCGGTTGCAATCGAAGCATTGACGAATTGGGATATAACCGGAAGGTTCAGGACGTTGATGCCCCATTCAACCATCGGTATACATGATACAGCGACCTGTGGTGTTCCCATGAGAGTGAAGGTGAGCGTCCTTAGGAACGGAGGATCGGGGGTCAACTGCAGCCGCAAGCGAACAGTTCCGACAAGACTCTTGAGCTCGACCCATATAGCTGTTTAACCATCAGTACATACATCACAGAAAACCACTCAATGGGATACATACGCACAGGGACGCCGAAAAGCCCCTTGATACCCAGATAAAACTCCACCTGCAAATGCATGTTCTTAGCTTTTTTGCTCACCCCTCTTCCCTCCGTTGGTGCCGCGTGGTACGCAAATGAAGCCTCGAGATTATACACTTCTCCGCCTTCTTCCTCGGCCAATCTCTGTTGTTGGTCCTTTCCGCCCCTTTCAGACGTCGCAGCCCTTTTCAAGTCCGCCACCTCAACATCAGGCAGTGCTCTCAGCGAAAGGATCCTCAAGGGGTTCGATCCTTGAGAAATATCCGCTACTCTCACATTCTCAATTACCCCGGGGACCGATGCCTGCATAACATCCTCTAATAGATCCGCTACACTACTGAACATTTCTGGGTTCACGAGGTTCCACCCAAGTCCCAAGAGAGTATTCATCCATTCCACAGACTCTGGTATTAGATTTGCCACTGCCGTCTGACCTCGACGCTTCTCAGTCTCCCAGTCGACGTTTGCAGACTCTTCCACGAGGTTTTTGGTCCAGTAAAAGATGTATGAGCTAACTCCCGCGGCAACAATCAGAAGACCTATTATGGAGCCTTGGGTTAAGATACGCCCGAGAACAACGATTGAGACGAAAAGGATCCCGCAAAGGGTTGTTGCGCGCTTCTCGAGATCGTGAAAGACTGTGCCTCGGAGTGATAGCGAGGGGTGGGGTGGAAAAGAATGTTTGTCTTTTCGCCGTGGATGGGGACATCACTGGTTGTGCCTGGAGCTATCGGTGCGGGGGGCGCGGTAACATCTTGAGTTTTTGCGTATTCTTCTTGGGACTGAGTCGGCGAAGAATGTTTTGCCTGGAAAGGTTTGTTAGTTATCCTCAAAACGAGACCTAGCGCCAAAAAGAACCCAAGAGGAACCGACCTGAGGATCACCAATGTCCTTTCTGTCTGTTAAATTCGCATTTGGAACCACCACGTCGTTTCTTTTCGCCGCATTGAGAAAGCTCTCATTCGTATCTTCAATCACTACCTCTTTTCCTGTTGTCGGATCAGTTACAGTTCTCCTATTCCCTTGTGATCCTTCACCCTGCTCTACCCCTTTGCGTTCTCTGGCAATCTGGGCCTGTTCGTCTTTCTGCTGGCCCTCGACCCTTTCGGCGGTTTCGCGAAGGAAATCGGAGACCTTTGGGATAGGATTCGATCCTGAGTAAGGCTTATTCGACGTCATGCTGGATAAATTGGAGGTGAAAGTCAACTCTCTTCTGACCCTTGAGATCTATCCAAAGAAGTCGGACCACTACTGTCTATATACGATACCGGGGGATTAATTGAGAGTTTCCCATGACGTCACCGGTAGAGGTCGTCACAGTTACCTCAGGGATCCGTGTATATACATCCTAAGCAATTGTAACAACTTGGCCTTGAACTTTGCCTTGCTTGTTCTTGAGCTTTATGCATCCCATAGGCGGCTGGCCGATCGAATGCGATTGTCTGTTCAAAGGGGCGTTCAGCCGCATGATACTACAGTTTACGGCCCTTTTTTTTGAGGGTCGATTCTAAGAAAACTATTTCACGTCAGTATCAATACCCAGAGCTAGCATTTCTTGGTTGTGTAGTGGAGCACATGCCTATCCCTAGTAGGTACCTATCTGCAAAGAGCAGCAACAAAGCGAGAGACGATCAGTCATGCCACCCTATCGAAAGGGCTCTTTGTCTTGTAAATAATATAGAGAGTAGGGAAGCAAGGATCATGATAGCAATCGATAGAGTAGGAGCCCTTGATCTGGCTCTGAGGCGCTGAGCGAATCAGTCAGTCCAAGGCACGGTTGAAGACACGCGCGCAACGTTCCGGGCTGACGTCACACCTGTATGGGCTAGGTTGCGTGTACCAAGATAGGGTTAGGGTTATGGTGCGCCCACTCTTAAAGGTAACCAAAAGTGACGGAAACTCAATCGCTACTAACTTCACCACCAAGACAGGTATTAAAATTTTGGAAAAATAGAAGTATAGTAATAGTGATGAACTTTAGTTCTATTTTTCCAGATTTTTGATATCTGTCTTGGTTGTGAAGTTATTAGAGCTTGAAATTGGGTATTTTTGTATGTAAAATCCGCCAAGACTGAACAAAGTGGAACAGTATTATACCGCCGGTCACCTTTAAGAGTGTGCGCACCATATATTGAATCATGGATTATCACGCTCTCCCAAGAATTCTTACTTGTAGACTTTCTTTTTGCAGTTCTTTCTGATAGAACTTAGTATCCATATCGCTACGCTACAAACGATTAGACTCATAAAGGAGACAAGCGTACAAGGAATGATATATTCATAATTCCATAATTACTACTATGTGACTGGTCAAAGTATGTTCTACATTAGTATATCTTCGTTGTGCAACTGATCAAACGCGCGATCTTGGCATAGGCATATGAGAGTTCACCTTACTTATAGAATTGACTGCGCTCTGGAACTCTAAAAGATAGAAGATTGGAGTTACGATCATACTTCGCCAAATCACATTTACTACATTCATACCGTTTATTGCGTATATGCGTAAATAAGGGGACCTGCAGGTGAAAAACTAGGACTGAATGGTTTCAGTGTCAAAGCAGCAGTTCTTCCTAGCCTTCACTACATGTAGTCGTAGGGTCTATGTGCATATTTTACGAAAAAAATTCTACTTGGTGTACAGGTGAATCGTTCAAGCGGACGGATCACAGGTGGAACAAGACTTGTGGCCGTCGAACATCTAAATTAAATATATAGCACCGTCACTCAAAGTCTTCTGACAGCACTCGTCAATATGGCCGGACTCGACATGGATAGTATTAACCAATTTTGAATTTGAGAACGTTCTATATATATATATATATATTATATAACCTGCATTTGCCTCCCCCGTAATACCATGTGCGGGTTCCCTTAACTCCCACTTGAATGGAAACGTTTACACACATTGGCCGCCGTTAGACTACCCTTATATTCTATTACTTCTACACCCCGAGATATGGCCTTCATCATGTTTTATGCATGTATGCCTCCTATCAGAACCTTGTACAATACTATTCATGCGCTTGTTCTCACAACATTGAATAGTAAATCCGTTCAACCGAATTAAACGACCGATGGATAGCATCATCAGGCCAGATCTAGGGACAGTAGCGAGTCCCTTAAATATACCGCCCCCAGATCTTTCAGTAAATCTCAGCAGCAGCCAACATATTCACACGTTCAGAACCTGAAGCAAGAATCGGACGCCCGCCGCCGCCTTGCGAGAAGAAAAAAGAAAGCAATCCGCCGTCATATAAAACGCTTCTTCCCCCCGGATCGCTCATATATCCTTATCTTACCGTTTCTCAGCTCTCCCATCTATTCTGATACGTTCTCATCCTCTGAACCCCTTACCTTCTTACCTTCTCACCTTCTCACCTTCCCCATATATCTGCACTTGTTCCTACTCAAAGGAGACAATCAGAGCCAACAAGGCAAGAAACCAGAACCACTACGAACAACAACTAACCTCCAAACCAAGAACAAATCACCAACAACTAACCTCCAAGCCAAGAACAAATCATGAAGATGCCCGCCTCCATGTACTACTCCTCCCGCTCTGGAGCTGCCACTCCAAGCAGCAGCAACCAACTGCCCCGCCACCGCGAAAGTGGCTACCGCTCATCTTCCACCGAGTGCGTCGTGAACCACCCCCACATGGCAACTAGACACGAAGAACTTGCCCGGCAACCCCGACAGGCTTCAAGTTCTAGGGGCACTAATTATTCTAGACCTCCTCATCCTCCGCCTCTGGTATTCTTCATGGCGGCCCAGCCCCCTCCGCCCGCGAAGTCGGTGAAGTTCAAGGAGGGCAACGAACTCGCTACCACAGTAGTGATTCCAAATAACGAGCAGATGCGGGAGCTGGAAAGAGCACCTGAGTCCCCACCACGGTCTCATCACGGTCGACGAAGCTCCCACCGTCGTGATGAGTATGAGTATGTGGAGGACCGGGAAGCTAGAAGGTATCGGGAGGAGCGCGGCGGAACGAGGGCATATGTGAATGCGACGGCGGAGGAATATATGCGTGATCAGAGGGGCGATTCAAGGAGGAGGAGGAGATGATGGATCTCGCTTTGATATCTGGATGGATCTGTGGGAGGATGTTGGCTTCTGTTCCTCTGTATATGGGGGGGGGGGGGGGGGGGGGGGGGGGGGGGGGTTTCTGATGGGTACCGTACTTACCACGGGATACCTTAGTGTTTCTGTACTTTTTTCCTCTATCACCATTCCTTTTCTTTGGACAGGCAAGACGCCCAAGTTCTTTTGTTGCTCTGTTTGGCACTAGCCATCACCTTCATTCTCGAGAAGGCGTCTCATTTTGTTAGTATAAGTGGTTGATGAATTAACGGAGATATTATAACGTAGGCTTTTACACACACTCTCTTTTATCGTTTTTCTCGTTCTATCGACAGGCAACACTGCATGTAGTTGGATAAGAATACAGCTTTCAGACCGATATTCTATGAGTGAGGTGCAGAGGTGGCCATACACGTGACTGTCAGGTTTTCGGTATCCATCGGCCTGGAATATTGAGGAGTCCGCGCGAGCCTTTTCAGACACGACACAGCCGAGGCCCACAGCAGCAGTCAATGATCAAAGATACATGATATTTTAATGCCAAGTGTTATTAATGTGTTGTCATAGGTACATGTAAATAACTAGTAGCCATATTAATGAAAATGAAGCGAGTTGAATATTTAAATTACATACAGGATCTCATAAACCGAATCTTCTAACTAATAATCATCATGTGGTACTCGAGAATAAATTAGTATCTTCAATACCTAGCTCATGTTCGTTGAATGATAACCTGAGACCCAATATTCTGAATGGGTCCAAAGCTCGAGACTCAAGCCCAAGCCAGCTCGGCCCGATCGATCTGCACGGACCACACTAAACTATTCTGATTTCTCCGGAATCATCGAAATCCTCTTCAAAGAATTGTCGATTTAAGACGAGACATATATATACGCAGACTAATCAATCTTATACCAAATAGTCTTTATTTCATTCGTCTACTATCCCTTGAGTTGTCCAAGACATCAATGCATGCATGTCAAGCCCGCGGCCCGCCTTGTGCGAAAACCTAGAAACCCATGGTGGTTGAAAACAAACGATTGGTGAGAGATCGACTCAGATTATGAAAACCAGGTAACTCATTATCAAAGTCACGTACATCCCTGACCCCCCACGCACAGTTAAGGGTCACCATCTAGATCTGCCGGCAGCTGAGGTATCCGTGGTACCGGTACACATTGGCACTGCATGGACGGTGTAACACGTGCTAGCTAGCTGTTAATTAAATTACGGCGCGGCAGAAGAATCCACAATCACAATTGCCCTGTATTACGATGCAGCTTTTTTTTTTCAAAGGTCGTTAGAAAAGTTCGCTGTACCCACAGGTTATGGTTGCCCCCACGGAAATTTAGTCGGATGGCGGATGCATCATGGCAAATCACTCGGAAAACAATCGCGCTAACCAAAATACGTGCCACTGAGGCCTCCGTAGCAGCCTCGCCAGACCTTTTCTGCTTCCGATGGTGACTGCGGGAGTCATGGGAAATCAAAGACGGGGTCTTTCAGTGTTTTAGCAATGAAGGAGAGACGAGACCGAACAGGATTGTTGAGAAAGAAAGTCAATGGCATTGCCACGTCTACAAAAGCTCAGTTGAGACCAACAACCACCTTGTCTGGTAGCTTTGATACCATCGCTGTGGCATAGACCATAACCATAATCGAGACACCACGCACTTGGCATTTGACATTCACTGCTTCATCTTATCTATGCTAATCTTACTGCATCTTGGCATCTGCTCCTACCCTTACTTTAAGAGCTGCCAGTTTTTATCCTTGGCATTTTCTTCCTCCGGCTATATAAAATCTCTCCCTCCCTCCCTTTTCACAAATCATAGTTGTATGCATCCGTGTTCTTGCTCTGGTAAGCAGGAGAATCTCTTTTCTCCTATCTGTCAGAGCAAAGACCCAGTTGCAAAGATTTTTCCGGTTTCCCCGCGAAGCGACGGTTGGGACGTTCTTTGGTGGGTTAGGGTTCGTTTTTTTTTGTATATATATTTTCTTCTGTATATAATTAATGTCAATAGGCTAGGTAATTTCTTCTCTCGTTTCCTTTTTTCTTATAGACTTATGCCATCAACATCATATCTTTTAGTTCAAACTTATTAGTAGAAATTAGTGGGGAGTTAGAAAGTACCCGCAGCATATTCGGACCCTCAAGCTAACTACATGTACGCGTACCATGATCCAGAGTATAAAACCCGCCGTATCACCGTCATTTTCTATGGGTTTTTTGCACTGTGCCACTTGGCATTTCTCGTTGGAAATCAAACTTGTCTTGACCCTTAAGGCATTCCTATCAGTAGCGGATATTATAACACATATGATATGATATGATGCTGTCTACACGAGACGTGTTCTGTGGCTTTGTCTTGATATAAAAGAAGTCAGTTCTTTCTTTTCTTTCTTTGCCTCTATTTCCGTCCACTTTGCACTCCGTGCTTCTGGAACTCTCTACAAACATGCCTTGTACCTACTGCCACGGCAGCGCTTTGTTCATATCATCATCACTTCAACAGCTAGCACCGCGTACTTGCTACCCACATGAGCCATCTGCCTATCCCTCTCCGCAGTTCCCAACTGCATTGTCACTTTGAGGATCCCCTCTTGTCAGACCCTCGTGAAACCTGCAGTCCACCTGTCTAGGACAGCAATTCTGAAACCCTAACCCTGACTCTATGCTACCTAAAGCCACAGGATGGCACAAGGCAGGATAGTACAAGGCAGAACACAAGGTTTTTTGAAAGGTGATCCGCCATGTGATGATCCTATATGTCTGTTCTAGGGATAGCCCATGTCTGGTGGCCTTACGGAGATGGTTTGTGCATTTCTCTCGTAGGTACGTACTGGCACAATAACGGCGTCTTTCACATCTGTGATCGTGTGCTGCTCATCTTGCAACGCAGAACATCGGAGGTCTGATATAATATTTACTACTCTTCTCGGTATTACTAAGGGTTGATGCATGTGGGCACAGAAGTATACGTATATCGATATCGATATCGCGGAATTCAACGACATCGATTAGAATGTAAAATAAAATCTGAGCATCACATACGATGGACGAGAGATGTCAAACGCTGAGGGCGGGCCGTGTGATGAAAAAAGCCGTACGATGTCCCGTAACTACTGCAGTGATGGAAGCTTACAAGACGAAGCTAACCCAATCACTTCACAGGCCATCACTCGTCCACTCTCTCCACCGCACATCTACCCACTAATCCACAGGCACCACTCCCACCGAAGATCGCTCAATCACCGCATCCCTCCCATACGCTTGATAGGCCTGCACGACACTTTGATCAACATCTGTCGGCTGACGTGCAGCTGGAATTCTCCGGCGTTCGCAAGGTCACGTTCCCATTGGATCGTGTCCCCGCCAGTAGAAACGTAGTTGGGAATGTGAGGCACGCACCCCACTTGTCGGGGAAAATCTGGCGAGTTTATGCCTTCGATGCGGGGTGCACTGCGTCGTGGGGGGGAGTGGACAGCTTGGTTGGTGCCTTGCAAGGTTCTCTTTGGTTTCTTTGCCGTTGGTTTCTTTGCAACGGAAGGTACGTATGTATGCTGTGAGAGGGATATAGATAGGCCGGTGAGTTCACTACACGGACCCGACTCGCTGATTGTTTTCCAGCGGCATCTCTGCTGTTCTCTGGTTTTTTTCTTTCTTTTTTTCTTTTCTCATCAAACGGGCCGCCAGAGTTCAACAAAAAAGAAAAAAGAAAAACTTTCACCGCAGTCGGATGGTTTCCTCATCAGCATCTAACTTCTATGGGATGAGCATTTTTCTATTTGGCTGTTCTTTTTCATCGTGTTCGGTATCACATTACACTGGCGTTGTCTTTGGGCCTAACAGCAGTCATTTGCACCACTGCAAGCACAGCGCTAGGGCTGAGAAACACTGCAAAGGGCGGGAAGTAGACAGAACAGACAGAACAGACAGATACAGACAGATACAGACAGACACTGACAGACACTGACAGACACTGACACTGACACTCATGCAACTGACTAAGCCCCTCGAGTGATACCACATGATGTACCTACTCTAGCTCAGCACTGACTGAAAGCAGCACCTGCACGCGAGAGGGAGACGGCAGGGCAGGCAGGCAGTCACAGTCATACTCAGATGTACCCAGCTAGGCGATGAGCGTGATGCCGCAGAGATGCGTCTACCGCCTACCGTGTCTGTAAAACACACAGCTGGGAGGGGAGAGAGTAAGTAGCCTGTAGATAGGGAGAGCTGGAGAGAGACCTTGAAGGCTGAGGGAGAGACCATCCACCAATCCATGCAAGAACAACCCTATTCCACAACCACAGACAGAGACAGAGACAGACAGACACCGACCGCACCGTATCGTATGAAAAAGCAACAAGCCTGCAGAGAGAGACTGACAATGACGTCCTGTCTGTCTCTGGCTGCCACGCACCTCCTCTGGGTGCCTCCCTCCCGCCCGGTGTGTTGAGTTTTTTTATTTTTTATCTTGTTCTCATGCAGCGTGGATCTGGCGTGGAGCGGGTTAGTGCGGGTTTGGCTTGGGATCTGTTGGTTGGCTGCGGCTCCCTGCCTGGCTTGTTGGCTGTGACTGGAAAAAGCTGGGTGACAGAGAGAGAGAGGGAAAAGGCATGGATGGAGGGATGTGTGGGTTTGGCCTTTTTTTTTTCCTCCTTTGCGCGGGGAAGAGGGGAGAGAGAGATGAAGAGACATCTTCTTCTGCCTCAGCTAACATACAGATACAGAAAACGAAAGCAACAGCTTAATCCAAATACCCGTCACCGTAACATACGGGTGAAACTCTGTGCATACATTATATTACCTAGCATGGCATAGCATCCATTCTCCACACGCGCGTGGAGAGGATGCGGCTCTGCTCCAGTCAATAGGCAGAAGGAGTATATGTAAGTATGGATGTTTTATTTCTATTTATGGGCAGACCCTACTTATGGGTTTCAGCCGGGCGCTGGTGCTTCCGTTTGGTGGTAGCATTCATAGCAAGAGCCAGAAGAGAGAGCAAGAGGGAAGGGAAAAAAAAAACAAGCTATCCACGTCACGCTGCTGCAGTGCATGGATGGGAAGGAACGATAGGAAGGGAAGGGAAGAGAAAGAGAGAAAAAAAATAAATAAGTGTGAGTGAGTGTGAGTCTAAAGGACATTACCTTACAGGGAGAGGGATGTGAGGTGAGGGGTCGTGTCGGGTCTGCTGTTTGGTTTGGGGCGTGAGAGAGGTGAGAGCGCAGGTGGGGGCTGTGAGAGGTAGAAAGGTGTAGTAGGGGGACAGAATGAGAGAGTGAGAGTGAGAGGTTATGTAGATGGTGGTGGTATCTAGTTACAGAATTACTTAGACGGTGGCTCTTCCCTTCCCCGTTATACTTACATACGTTTGCTTGCATCTTCTTCTTCTCTTCGATCTTCTTTTTGATCTTGCTCTTCTCTTGCCTCTTCTCTTCTTCTTTCTTGTCTTCTTGTCTCTTCTTTTATTTTTCTTGTGGAAGAAAAGAAGTAAGGAAAGAAAGGTGAAAGTGATCGATCTAGCTGTCTGTGCCCTTGTGCGTTCGAAGCGTCAAAGAAGAAGCAGAAGAAGAACAGAAAGTGGAGGTGTAAAAGAAAAAGTTTAGGTGAGTTTTGCAATCCATCTATTTTATTTCCAATCTACTCTACTCTAGCTGTCTGTCTATCTATCTATCTATGCTATGCTCCATCTACCTCTACTCCGTTATACCTCTACGCACTCTATCTCCTACACACACTGCACACGCACATAGCACTTTTCCTGTTTTGTTGTTTTTTCCTGTACTCTACGGTTTGCCCTTCCCTTTCCCTCACCGGAAAGTAATAAACAAACCAGAACAAACACCCGCACACACACACACACACACACACACACCCCCATTCTAGATAGATATCCTACAGACACATACAGACACACATAAACGCGCGCACATACACATACACATACACACACACACACAATTAAAAACCTCACTCAGTGCACCAGACAGCTAACAGACAATACCTCCCCCCGCAGTATTGTTCAGCACACCCGGGTACTTTAGCACTCGGACGCCATCCGCGCTGTTGCTTCCCCGCTCCTCTTCAGTCGCCAGTGACAGCGGCATCCCCGAGCAAGAGACACCACCACACCACCAGAACTACGAGCAGCAGCAGTACTTGCCGACCATCGCAGCATCGCAGCAGACAACCACCGACGACGCAATCTACGCATACCTCATGTCCGCCCACGGACACTACTACAACAGCGGCGGGGGCAGGGACAGCGGCGGCGGCGGAGGGGGTGGAGGCAGCGGAGGAGGGGGTGGAGGAGGTGGAGGACAGCCCTCACAGTCCCCGTTCTACTCTTCCCAGGGCCCCCCGCAGCACCACGGATATGTCCCGAATTCGGCCGCCTCGCCGGTATCAAACTACTCAAACTCGCCGCCCCAGCAGCAGCCTCCCCCCATCCGCTCACACACGGCAGCCCCGTACAGCTCTGGTGGGTATGCTCCCCCGTCAAACCAAGCTCCAGGCGGTGGGTACTACGGCCAGCCCCCATCCCATCCCTCGCAGGCCTCAGGACCACCCCCCTCGTCGCAGGGCCCGTATCGGACCCAGCAGGGAGGAGGAGGGAGTCGTCCTGACCGTCACGAATTCTCACCTTCCGGGCAGTCGCAGCCCCCACCACGCTCCGACTATGGCCCTCCTGCTTCAGCGGGGGGATACTCTCCAGACCTGCCAGCCATAATCGCAAACACACACAACCTCCCTCCTGAAGTCGTACAGCGCCTGGCAGAGGATCTCATGCGAAGCATCCAGTTCGGGCAACCAGGAGGACCAGGAGGAGGAGGAGGAGTTGCACCGGCCGGCGCAGCCCCATTGCTAACGCAGCCGGTTGCTCCCCACGGCCAGCAGCGCCAAGGCTCCCCCGCTGTCACGACGATCCCTGCCCCGCCACCACAGCCACAGGGCGGTCACGGGCCACACCAGCCACACTACGGTATGCCGCCGGTGCCTGGGCCCTTCCCGGGCTACGGCCCGGGTGGCCAGGAGACTGCACCCGCGCCGGGCCCGCCGCCGCCGCACCACGGGCAGAAGATGACCCACAGCCAGCAGTACGGGGCGCCCCCAGGCCAGGCCAGCTACTTCCCGCCGCAGCCAGCACCAATTGGGGCCTCGGGGCCTCCGCATATGTCGCCAAAGGGACCGCCAGCTATGGCGTTGAGGGATGATAATCTGGGCAGGAAACCTTCACACAGACAGTCAAAGTCGAATGCAACATCGTCTGGATATGGGCCAACACCAGGGACATCAGCGTCCTCCACGCCGTCAGGGAAGCCAAAGATGAGCATGGACGATGGGGCCATCTTCTTCGAGCTGTGGGGAGATCTTGTCGACAAAGAGCCTGGGAGGGAGCCTAGACCAAAGGAAAAGCTTGTCACCCTGTTGAGGGAGACTGCAAACTATATGGTATTTCTATTTCCTATATCGCACCTGATATCATCATCATCAGTATACATCATCTAACAGTGCCACAGATCAAGGAACGCCCGGTCAAGGAGAGCATCGTCATCACGCCCGAGAAGATGGTCGACTTTTACACCTGCAACGCCGTCGAGAAGGAGCCCCTCGACTGGAAGCTTTTCTTCACCGGCCGCACTCTGGCCTCGCTGTCATCAATCTACCGCGCTCTCAACTGTGAGCACTTCTACATGCCCCCTGCGTCGGACCAGAAGCCGTGTATCCCAGCACTCACCCCGCGCGGGTTCGAGACCTGGATGTTTACGCAGCTGATGTCCGACCCCAACCGCGAGTCGCAGCGTCTGCAGAAGCTGGTTTCAAACTGGCAGGTCATCAACCCCAAGACCGGCCATCCGTTCCCAAAGTCGATCCCCCGACGATGCTTCCCGGAGAAGGAGGACGCCATCATCTCTGACGGCTGGTGGAGAGTGTGGGAGGAGTTCCCGCGCGACTATAGCGAAGACTCGGAAGATGAAACACTTGCCCTGCCCGCACCAGGAGGAGGTCACCACTATCCGCCGCGAGAGCAGATGACGCCCCCCGAGGCCATGGAGGGCCCATTTGTGCCCGCAGGCCCTCCCCACAGAGGCGGCAGTAAGAAGATCCCCATGACCATGCCCATGTCCTATCCTCCGGACGACGACGAGGACGACCGCCGCCACGGCCCGCCCAAGGGTAAGTCCAAGACCCCCCGAAAGCCCGACCCACACTGGCGCGAGTCGGAACTCAACCCCCGTCCTATCCTCGGCGAGGAAGCCCGCGCGGCACCGCCAACCCGTCCCCACACATCCCACGGACACCATCCCAGCGCCGACAGCCCCGACAAGCCACGCTCCTCACGCCAGCGTGACCGCTCCGAATACCGTCACCGCCGGCATCAGTCCCGCCACCAGTCCCGCCACAGGCACGAAGAGAGATCCCCTAGCCCCGACGAAGGTGACTGGTCAGCGTCCTCCGGCATTTCCGCGCGCACGCCCGGCAGCGGAGACGGCCCTCCGCTCGATGCACCTGCACCACCACCCGCGGGGGGCAGCAAGAGGGCTGAGGAAGTCGTGCGTGAGCAGCGGGAGGCAATAAGGCGCTTCGAGGCGCAGAACGCGCGCAACAGACAATACGACGATTCGTACCCGGATGAGTTTGTACCCCCATCTCCCTGCTCCTCCTCCTCCTCCTTCCAGTACGTATCCCAAGCTAACCTGTCTCTCGCGGCAGCTTCGAGGAGTACCAGCACCCACGAGACCGCGATAGGGAGAGAGATGATCGTCGCGTCGCCGAGTACGCTTACCAGGATGAGTTCGAGCGCGATGTGCGACGGACATCTACCGGGGGCGCGGCGGCGGCGCCCGCGCCCGGCAGCGACGGCGGCAGGAGGAGTCATCATGGTGGTGGGCGGAGGGAGGGCCCCGGTGGCTTCTATAGGTGAAGTGGGGAACGCGGGGACCATGGTGAAACTGAACGAGTGGAGGGGCGTGAATGAGGACTTTTTCTATCGGTGTTGTTCGGTCGAGTAGCTGTTGTTGTAGTTCTTCTTCTTCCATCTTTCGTTTTTCTATATAGGGTGTTTGATTTCCTTTGTGGCGAGAGGGTGGGTGGGGTTGGGTTATGATATCCGCTATTTTTTATCCTATTTTCTCTTTGGTGGGGCCTTTTTTTTTTGTCTGTGAGGTTTTGTGTGTGGTTCTGTTCTTTGTCTGTGAGCGTTATGATGATGATGTCATGAAAAGATAAAAGTCCTTTGTTTTGCTGGTGGTTTTAATGATGAAGTCATGACGATCGATTGCAAAAGAAACGCTTGAGCTTCTGGACTGTGCTGGTGAATGCTGGGTGCTAGACTGTGAATTTGGTTATTGTGCGGTATGTTTATAGAGGCCATGGTAGGAGGGGGTTCTAGAATTCTCGGTGTGAAGCTTGCGTTGGTCTGGATTGTAAAGGCCTGGTTTGACCACTAGATAGATTAGACATTGGGGGGATATCTGCAATTGATTAACTTGACAGAAAATGGATGTGGATGTGAACTCTAGAAGCACGTAGCTCTGTTAGTTTGAAGAGCTCCCAAGGGTAGAAGGGGGAGGGGGGTAGGGAGGGCGTGGGAGGTAGAGTCGGAGTTGGACGTTTGGTGGGGGTGAGGAGGGTTGAGGTTTGTGTCAATTGAGGGGAGAAAGGACGGTGTGTGGTGGTGGTGGTGGTGGTGGTGGTGGGTAGTGGGGTAGTGGGGTAGTGGGGTAGTGGATAGTGGGATAGTGGATAGTGGATAGTGGATAGTGGATAGTGGATAGTGGATAGTGGATAGTGGATAGTGGATAGTGGATAGTGAGTAGTGGATAGTGGGATAGCGGGGGGTAGCGCTGGCGGGGCAGAACTTACATACAAAGGATGATCCGGGCCAAAATTAGTGGCACCCGCGTTTAATGTGGAACATCCGCTAAAAGACCATATATCTACATGTACATGTATCTTCCGGCGCAGAAGATGGGAAAAATGTAATCTGGTGTAAATGATTTTTGGTTTTCGAGCTCTTAAGAGGCCATAAAGGCCGGGAGTGAAAGAGCCATAAATGATTTTTTTATATAAACATGACCTATCATAAACAAGAAACCCATCGGAGTCTTCTGTCATGTTGGGAACTACAGGTAAGTACGTGAGGACGTTCTTAAGACTCGGAAGCCACGAAATCGACAAATATATATTTGGCTTTTTGAACGACCTCGTTGATCTGTCACTACCATGATGGTGACATCTGTACGGTCTGTGATTAGATAGCTGTTTATACTCATGGATCAAGTCGCTTGGCGATCCCAATTAATCAATAATCATGCCAGGCTGTAGTGCCGAGTGATATCTCATGATTAACATTCTCGAGTACGTCGGTTGAGTAGCCATAATCGCGCACCAAGAAGGGCCTTTGTCTTTTTGCTGTGCGAGAGAAAATTTCGCCGGGATACGACACTACATGCTCCTTGCTGCTGCGTCCTTGATTTTCGGTCTTCTGCACTTGGAGGTGCATGTCTTCTGTTGTGCTTCATGACTAATTCTATATAGCAGAAATGTAAGCCTATAGCAAAACAAGATTAAGAGTACCTATGGACAGACAGCAAGACTGCTGCCGGCACGCCAATACGGTCACGCAGGGCGGGTCGGCTTGTGAAATACCTATCTCATCCCGACATCATATACATACGTACTCTACTCTGGCACGTCTGCTGTGTGACTGGCTGGTTTTACCGTCGAGGACTTCAGCGCCACAATATCGGCACCGACACCAATGAACTAGTAGTGACTGGATTTGTGAGACCTACACTCTCGTCACGAATCGAGTAGAGTACAGGAGATGTCTTTCGGGACGGGATCAGATTCGTAGTTAAGAATGAAATGAACACGGGATTCAATGTTGCGAGAGGTGACGTCGTTGTTGGAAGTATATCTTGGAATTTAAGCGCGTCCGAAACATAGCTGTCTTTGGAGACTACCCCGCTTCGTACCTTTTCGACGCAGAGCTAGAGGGTCTGGGTCCTTTGAAGAAGTTTTCCTAAGGGCTTTGCACTCAAAGGGAGCGTCGTGCCGGTTTCTGGGGTTGGGGGCGTTATGGTGGTGATCAAAAGCACACGTTTTTGTAGAGTACAAATCGATAGGGTATTGGCCCACTGGCGGGGTCGCAGGAATGGCGGGGTAAGGGTTTTTGCATGTGATTCTCGCACATACACAGCTGAGCTAGAAATCTCTGCATGGAAGCGTCCGCGTTGAGAGATAAGTGTGTATGTACATACTCTACATGTAGGTATCTAGCTACTAGATTCACTGGGACGCCACCGGTCCCAACGAGTCTTAACATGTCTCTTTGACAACGCGGCGTGGTTATCATTATTTGGGCGTATTAATAGTATGTGGAATTATAATATCAACACGCTTAGTTCAGTATACCAGGCCAAATTGAGTTTACTTCGTAAGAAAACCTATCGCTGAGATTCTTGAGATATGTATTAGACTGGCAGAGAAGAACTACGGGCGGAAGTACTTATCCATGTGGCCTGTATGTAAGTCGTCTGTTCTTTTTTCAAACCTGCATATCGTAGCCTTGCATGTCCATATATGTATTTGAGAGCAATTAAGCAGCAGCCAAACCTCACGGGATGAAAGTATGTAGCTACATGTATTGAAGGCTCCGAGAGTACTCGCGCGAGTACGTATACAACCTCCGAGGAGATTGGGGATAACTTATTCAAAGGGGAGGACCAATGTATAACGCGAGAAGACCTGAGTAGGCAGCGCCTGTGTGGGTTATTTCTCAAGAAACGGTTGGTTCTCAGGGAGATCTTATGATCTGTAGGACTATGCATGTTCGTCAACTAGCTGCATGTCCATAAATTTTCAGTATTTTCTTTGACATTGTCACTAGCACTATGAGCTCGCGGTGAAGGAATAATTTACGTGCACAAGATGACACTTCTTTGGCATGGGAAGGATAGCATTGTGTATCTTTATCGATAAGCGCTCGTCCATTCAGGGCTCATGAACATTGACACCGAGACCTACTTGTACTAATATTTAGGTACAATTCAGCCTAATTAAACGCTTACTAGTAAAGCTGACAGTTGTAAGGTCTCACTACATCCGCGTTACGACTACTAGAGTCTTTGAATTCTGATTCTGCACAGTCTCATAAACACCATGTATCACTAGAAACTCGAACCCACACATGGAGAGTGGAAATCTAGGAGTCTATCCTTGTGCTGAAATTCCCCTAACCCTGATCAGAAACACTCTAGCCCTGAATAGGTAACTACATAACAAATTGTTTATATAAACTTAAAATAGTCCCGAAAATGTGGTTTCATGGTGTAGTTGGTTATCACACAAGTCTAACACACTTGTGGTCCCCGGTTCGAGCCCGGGTGAAATCATTTTGCTGGCTTGAATGCCGAATAATTTATTGGAGCTCTGCAGAGTCGTTTTAGGGATAACAATAGACAGTGATATATTTTAGCAGCTGAAATCCGAGTTTTCAGCGCTGTCCTAGGTTTTTCATTACTTGAAATTAACAGTATCCTGGTTTGCGAGACACCAAGACTTCGCGTAGGGGCACATGGCTCGGCAGGGGATCTGTGTCAGTTTCTCTGGTAGTAGATCTGTGTCTTTCATGTCCTACGTAGATTCTCAAGTTACCAAAGCGAACTCTAGATGATTAGTATGAGAAGACATATAGGCATCAGTCATGGCTGGATTGATTGTGGGTTAGGGGAATCAGGGCAGACTCATTTCCACATAATCCTTTTCTGCACCTTACTGGCTAGCCTACCAGGACGTAAGAAGTTTGGAGGACGTTTATTTCGTCGGAGACCGTTTACTGTTGGGCAATGGACCGGACCGCGATCGATATGCCCATGTACTTAGCTAGTTTAAGCTTGTGCTTTGGATAAAGGTAGCTGTCGATCCATGGGATTAGCACTATCATTGGCTATTATTGGAATGGCTTCTAATGCAGTATGAAATACGCTATATCTGGGGAAGAAACCAACAGTTCATATAATGTGGAGGGCCTTAATTATAAAGTAACAGCTATAGCTATGCTATGCTGATCGCTTTCCATGATATTATGCGAGAAGATATTGACATTCGGCTTCATTTTACCAAATTGAGGAGTAAACGTTTCCTGAAGAATTAGGGACTGAAGAAGGCATTGGTCCGGTACTATTCCAAGCAGGAACAAGTACATCTTATCGTGTTTGCCTTGTAGCAATATTTTCCGACATGAGTCCGATAGGGCCACAGGGCCGGCATTCCGGCGGGTTAGGATGGTAATTATGAGCGTCTTATCGTAGCTAGGAGGTCCGAGATGAACACGAAAGGGGAATGTCGTTCTGTCTCATGGGATTAGTTAGTTCTTGCCCAGACCATGCAGAAAGTACCTACTGAACTGCGAAAGTCGGTGTTCGGGAGTTTTGGCTCGGACGGAGATCCATGTAACAATACGTGGGGTGGGTTGAAAGTCAAAAAATGGGATTCTCAAATGTAGGCGGTTAAGAACCTGAAGGGGGAAAAACAGAAAGGAAAAAAATCGATTTTGTAGAATCGATATCGTTGCTCATATACATGTATGTATACAACGTACGAGTTATGTCGGCAATTAGCATCTAGCTGGATTTTCCATATTAACTGCATTAGTTAAGGGGGTTACTCTTTGAGGTTCAAGGCTCGGTGAATGTTGATATAAGGTGTGTTATCTATAATTACTAAGAATTTAGGTGACTTTCTTCGGAGCAGCTCCTATATATGAAGCTCCAGCTTACCCAGTTCGAGATGCATACATATTGTATCTAGATCATCAATGAATCAATCTGAAAAAACTCAACTACCATTTCCTTAACCGCGCCCTACGCAGGGTTTGGAAAATGACGGAGATATCTTTGACTGGGGAAGCAGGGGAGAGGGAAGGGGAGGGGGGGCACTTGGCATAATTCGAATTCAAAGGGGTTAATAATGAAGCCGTGCACCGACCACGAAATAACTTTAAATGTCCCAGGGACCCGTAGGTCGGGGCCGGGAGCCCACGTAGGTAAAGTGGCTGCGGGTTGCTTTTCTTTTTCGTTCTTGGGAACGCCCCGTCCTGCAGGTGAGGAGGACTTCCCCACTCTTCACAATATGGCGCAGTGGAGTACGAGGGCGTTCTGCCGTGGTTTGTAGTACCAGGGTTGACTCCCACGACTTATTCTACTTGTCGTTAGATTGAGACCAGATCCCATTAACGATCTGGTATTAATACTTCTACACCACCTGCGGGATTTTGTGGCTGTCCAGTGTCATTTATGCGGGGTTTACTTCCTAAGGGCGTTCTCGTTCGATCTTCCCGACCAATAGCTTAGTTGATGCTTACTGAAACACATACCCGAACTACCTATCAAAGCAAGAAACTTCTGATAATGATCTAGAGACCAGGTTCGAAGAAAGTTTCATCCACATCGAGAGGCCCTTCTGGTCTTTACTATAAAACGGATTGCGAATATCCAAGGAATATCAATTTGATATCTCAGTCACACAATAATGGGCCGTGCGAGAACGTGGCCTGGAAAAAGCACATATTGTTGACTTCCTTGGAGGGTTCACATACCGTTTTTGATGGATTCATGCGTATTATTAATGCGTGTGATTATATATATACGCACCTAATTATAATTTTGGGAAATTAACTAGAATTACATTGACATACCTGCCCAACCGGTGATTTCCAAGTGTCGCTAAGAAGAAATATTTACAAAGAGAACTAGAACTAGAAAACAAACATAAAAGATAGCTTAGGACAAGACCCATATCAATCATTAATTCATTTTAAGTTAGCTTTTGAATTCTCTACGTATACGTTACTGCTACTCAAAACCTCCAGCCGTATACCACTCTCCGCATCTGGTAACGTATCCCGCGAGATAGTCAGGTCTATCTCACTCTGACTTTCCACCGTCATCACGACATCCGTCCTCTTCATGATACCCATTCCAATCTCCTCCTGGATAATCCTCTCCTCGCTATCGCATTCCCCGTAAAAACTTCTATCCTTGGATGAAGTAATATGGGTTGAGGTTTGGTTTCCAGGCGGCAAAGGTGCTATGACGTCTTCTACAAATCTCCGCCCAACTCGGTGCGTGGTACAATTACTCCCTTGGCCTTGATATATCCCGGAGCTCTCTGGAGTGCTGGAGCCCAAGAGCCCTGGTACGTATTTTCGAATCAACGGCTTCAATGATGGTCCACATGCTGCTATGACGATGAGAGTGCTTTCGACATAGTACCATACGATTGCATCCGTTATATCCCCTGTTGAAGACGTTAGTAAAGAGTGAGGTGTCATAGTATTCCATGTCGATACATACAGGTGATGTCTTTACTTTTGTTCAGCGCAGGTAACTTGACAACCCTTACCAAGCTGATTATGCACACCCTAAAATCACTCAATTGAATTAGAAACCTATCAAGATTTTGAAAGAGGAACAATTGGTGACTCACACTCCTCCCAATGAAAACAGCCCGCATAAACCTATTTTCTGCCTTCTAGGTAGCTCACTATGTCGAACTATCAGCGACGAATTCGAGTTTGTCTTGTCAAGAACACCTACAGTGATAAAAGGAGCGGCATAGGAAGTATAGTGATGACCACGTCAAGAAAAATATTTAGGCCAGCATGAACGAAATAGAATACGACAAGATCCCAGCACTTTCCATCGGGATCGGCACCTGGGAACAATCGATTCCACTGGTGGTTGGCCGGTTTGCACTGGAAGATAATAATGACTTCACTGATAACCCCAACAACAATCGTAAGGGCAATGAGCATGATCGTTGAAATCCGAAACCAGGTTGGCAGGCCACCGCAGCGAGGACCTCCGATTCGGAGGTAGAAGAATAACAGTGAAAGCTTTGCAAACATTATTTGCATAGTGTAGCTCTTAACTTGCCACCATAAATGTTAGGTATACCGAAATCGATTCTGAGGCCTGATGAAACTTTTGTTTACTGACCTGACTACTGCCCCAATTCGCCTAATCAGAGGTCAGTGATTTTGTTGGTATGTTTTTTTCTTCTTTTTTTTCTTTCTTGAGAATTTATATTTACCTGTATAGTCTTCCTAACATTATCGGGGGCAATATCTTTAAGATGCAATCCCAACCCATGTTTTGCAGCTAAGATGGAAGAACAATCAGTAAAAAGACTAATAAAATTAAGCCAGATGGAACACATGGGTGGCCACATACCAATAAGAATACAGACAAGATAAGACAACGTCAATAGCTATCCTAACAAATCAACCAGCCGTGCTTTTGACAGACTCCCGGGAAGTTCTCTACATTTCATATGCGAAAATGGGCGTCTTTCTGGGAGATTGTCTACCTACTTCCGCAATCACGATCAACACTTTTTCATTAATTCTCAGCATAATCCATTAGTTATACAGGGGTGCGGGGAAGCTTACTATCATCAATACCAAAAGATCTTATTATAATTGCCCGAGTGTACACTCTCAAAGATGTTGCAATGAAGCTGATTATCCCAAGTACTGGGCCCGCCACCCATATCATATGCTGTTTACTTTCAACCATCTCTTCGCAAATTCTGGGCGGGGAGTGCGAAGCAGAATCGGAGACCAAGGTACGTAGTTGTGAAGATATTTAAATTTCCGGGCGCCTCCGCCACGAACGAACCTGGGGCATGGCACCTTTTATGGCATAAGCCATCATAGGGTTGAGGTTTCTTTAAGCACACGGACGCCCTCCACGAGGGTGCCAAGAAAATATCAGCGGGTATGTATAGAAGTTAACTGTCCATAGAGTATGTACTTCGGTATCAGGGGTAAGTGAGTAGAACGCGGCGGTTCATATTCGCGAGCAAAACAGGAAAACTACAGCTTTAGCCACGCTGCCACGTTCTACTCACTTACCCTTAATACCAAAGTACATACCATGGCCATAAATCAAGCGAAAACAGCAAATCAGGGCCTTATCTCAACGCATGTAGCATCGATCCCCAGGTTCTTGTGTTAGGCTGCGGAGGTGAAGGATTTACGGTCCTCGCATCCCCTGACCAAAGCTATAGCGGACACCCCTATTCTCGGACGCTGATCATCCACGATTGTGCTTTAATGTGACCGATGCTAAACACAAGCAATCAAATCAAGAAGCAGTGGTCAAGACCGAATTTGCATTGACACCAACCATACCGAGGCCATCCAGTGTCTGAAGGAAAGCCACACGATGGGCAAAAGGGGAGCTTAGCCAGAAAAGGTTAGCAAAACCGCAACACACATCTGACCTTCGGGCACGATTCAGGGGTGGGCAAGCATGGAATATTACGCGAGAAGGTATCAGACGCATTTGTGATCTCTGGGGAGCCAGAGTCGAGTCTAGCGCACGGAGAATAAGGTTACTTGGCTCTGGGTGCAAGTGGCTGTTTAACGTCTGGGAGCTGTTCTCCATCGGTGGGGCCATATATACATACTCTGTGATGTTCCTGGGACGTACATACATTCCCATGATGGCCTAACGTCTAGAATATCGAGAGCAGATAGGTGCACATGTATAGTAATTGTATACTCTGCCTCATACAAGGATCATTCATGACAGGCTTAGGAATATACTCTAGGTAGAGTACAGTAGAGTAAGTAGAGTAGAGTGCCTATGTACCATGTAAATGATCAGTGGTACTACTCTACTCTACCTATAGTGGATTAGGTAGGGACATATGTAGTCAGATTCAATCGATCAACTACTAGTATTTCGCTGACGTTTTTGAACTGGGCCATTATTGCATACACCCAAAACCATGAGCTTGGCGTATTTTTGTATGGCATGCAATATCAGTCGCGTCCACAAACGTCAGAGAAATACGAGCACATTTGTACTCAGATGGAGATTCCCGCAGCCCCAAATCAACTTTGGCACCACGAATCACGATATATTCCGAAAAACTGGTCACCGTATCAAGAATTAAGACGTTCATAGCGTTCAGTACCCATACTCGATACCCTATATTATGTCAACATTTCTTTCCATTTCGGGTGAGTGTAGGCAGCTGGGGCGGGTGCCCACGTTGCTATAATTGTCGGGTGGAACAACGTCACAGCTGCGCACTCGGTTATTTCATTTGATAGCTCGGATATAGAATGTGTAGCAACCCAGGATCGAAGGGCTGCTTATAAAATGGCTGTACTGAACCTATGGACATAGACATGTACCACAGCGATCGACAGTATACATGTGTACATGATCAACAACATAGTAATGATATCCCTGGCTTGACGGACTGCATGTAGTCAATAAGCTTTCGCATGGCTTTTGTTGATTTGGATATCATTTGCTTAGGATCCGTGCATCCGTTCCGGGGGAAATGTTAAGATTAAGTGTACTATACATACATACACAATTGCAACCGTGTTACTCAGGCAGTGATGCCGCTCGCAGGTCGACCAGTTCAAAATAAGCCACAGGCCAAAGCTGAAAAAATTGTCATATCTATCTGACGAACAAGCTTTACGTATCCTCTTTTTGTTATCAATTCCTTTCCTCCTGACGTACGTCCTGAACCACGGGGTTTTTCTTGTCGAGAACAGCTTTTCTATGCATTGGTCCAACTTCGGCCGTATACAACCACAGATATTAATTCCCCAGACGCCGAGATAAGGAGCATTCTCGTATATGCTCCAGTCATATCCGCCAAAGCTGGATCATCAGTTTACATAACAGGGATGTCCTTGCGGTACCAGGTTTCGGCTGCCCCGCAAATCACCCCAGGGTTTAGTTATTCTCCAGCATTGCCGTGTTATTAAGGACGCCCGATTATCACTAGCACGAGAACAGACACTTTACATAGAGAGACCCAGTCCTCGCTTGACAGCTTTCTGACCAGTGAGATTGAGCAATCCATCATGTACCATATTGGCCGGAGTAGAAATCAGGTGTTTAGAGAAGGGTCTAGGTATGTAATAGGTCCGTGGGCGTGGAATGCCCAAGCAGTGGCGACTATACAACCCAATGATAATTCCCTCTTTGAAGACGTTGAATCATCATCGTCAAACTAGACCTCCGTGTTGCTGGAGAAACAAAAATGTGCTTCCGGTATGAAATAAGTACTTGATCCGATACTGGAGTCGATGAATATACACAATGGAGAGTTCAAACGTCCATGATTTCTTCTTATTTGTGGCAATCAAGTTAACATGTTTTCCAGACCCTGGATTGACATGTGAAAGAGTTAAAATCGTTAAAGATCGACTGTCCTTTGCCATGGACCAAGTATTAGCAAGTGCAAAAATGATTATTCTGCGCAGGAAACTGGGATTAAGTATGAAAATTTCGGTAGGCCTCCCTTGTCCATATTTTCATAAATACTTCGGCACTGCAGGTAACTCATATTGCTTTTCCCTGCCAACCACCCGCAACTCCGTTGTATCTAGGATGATTGAAGTGGGACTCCCTCCCTACGATTGGATACGAGCACGTGGCTATCTAGGACCTCTCCCTGGGGAATATCTTGTCTTTGCAGCCACGCGGGAACAGATGTCGAGCAAGAACAGTGAAATCTTCTAGGATAATTCCAACGGTTTTCCATAAAGTGTTGGAAGTGTTTACTATCTTAGATTGTCTTCGTCTCCGTGCTGTTATAACCAATTCATGCAAGCGTTGTTTCAAGTTTTGATTCCACGAGGAACGCCATATTTAGGAAAATCATATTTAAGTTTTCGCTCATTGCCTGGTTCGTGAAATCCGTTCTGTACATGCCTTGTGAAAGGTAGCCCCCAATCATTCTCACGGGGCTGATTATATGGGTAAAAACTCATGGTTCCAGGATTAAGGGCGGAAATTTAGACCCCGCCTAGTTAATAAACGGGATAACCATTAGTTAAAAACAGGTGTTTCCGTAAGATCATTCGGCGATGACATGAGGAAAGATTAGGACCAACATCATTCCACAAAGCTCTGTATCGACAGAACTGTTCTGCGAGCCACTTTCGGCGTGGATGACTTCCGGGGTGGATGAGTGTTGGTTGTAGGGTTGAGTGAGAGCCCCCGATACCTTTCCTATGATATGTATAAGCCTATCATGAATTACGCGAACGATACGGTATTGATAGGCCCTGAGGGGTGACATGCTGTATCCCTGTGGGATTGTCCTAGGTTATTGGCACATAAAATAAGCCTCCGGAGATCGAGGTAGTCCAACGTACAGGCAAGTCCCTTATCCCCAACTCCTATGATGCATATAGAGAGAGGTAGTTTTTCATATATAAAAGCAGTAGGTTAATTCCAGGCCTGCTGCGGAGCTGAACGTCACAGACATGCTTTCTCAATATTTCCCGATATACTCGGATATGCCCTTTTATCGGAGAACCATCGGCTACAGCGCGTAACCCCACAATATTTCTCCGAGTCGGATATTTCCCCGACAGGCGGTTGTAAGGAAAGTGGGGAGTGGATGGCTTGGTCGACGTTATTGAACGTTGCAAATAGTTGTCTGTCGGAGAATAGTACAAGTGCGTGTCTCTCCGGTCCGCAATACTCAATTCAACCTTAACCCCGGAGTGTTTTGAGTTGACTAAGCCTGGTTGATAGTAGAACTAGAACCCCCTCTGGATTTTTGCACAACTTGCAAAGCTAGATTGGCCAGCAGGTATCCCTATCTATACTCGTAGAGTTGGTGATGCCATGGGTTAACTGGCCATGGTCCAATGAAGGCCTGTATTTTGGGAAATACCAAAACATCCCTGGCTCCGGCTTGTATGACTAAGGGGGTATCAAGGGGCACAGAATTACTGTGCTATTAAAGACGTCAGTGGCCAGTGGGATAACGCTTTGAAAGGATGGGAGATTGTTATGCACTGGAGAGGGTCTGGGATCCCCTGTCGAGAAGTTGGAGGGTTCTTACTTGGTGTGTTTGCTCACGGAGAGCTTGAGATCGTTATAGCGGAGGTGTAGACTGAAGGCGATATGGTGCTATGTAGGTTGGAAGTTGGATGGATGGATTCAGTTGTGGGGCCGTTTACAGTGGATGTCGCGGATCCGGATTCCCGAAGATCACGTGGCCCGAACGAGGTGAGTTCTCGGTGTATATAGAGTATACGTATTGCGTATTCACATTGACATTAGCCCTTCTTCTCTAACTCTCGAGAGATAACCTGTTTAAGACCACGACTGAATACTATGTCATAGTGTAACGGAGCCCAAAACAACTCGATCAGTACACACACTAGGGATTCTTATGGTGGTTTTGAGAGGAATCCCTCTTGATGTTGCACGGGTTTAAAATGACTAAGTTGGTAAATATACTGTTGAATGATGCTGTGGTGAGGGTGTGGGTCCTCGAATATACTCATATCCGTGCCTCCGATTGCTGTATCGAAAATTTGCTCTACCGTTACTTATGAACTGTAGTATTCAGAGTAGTTGTTGATCTGGAATAATGAGATAATACGCCCCCACATTATTGGCGGCCTGCTGTGTACCAAGCCCCTCACACTATCATGTAATCATTATAAATAAATGGCTTAATTGTTTCAGTTGAAACATAGAGAGACGATATCTAGAGCCGCAAATGTTCATGATCGAGGGGGATAGATAGAGGAAATATTTCTGCTATAGATTACTTGGTAGAAGATGAGGTAGAAACTACATGTAGATGGTTGGTGTTCAAACGAACGGTCGATAGAAAGGTATTTCACTACCGATGATAGGGGAGTAGACTGACGGAGAATATTAACATTCGAGACTTTGCGCTGAGGGATCCGGAGTCTCTTTTTGATAGACTTGGCATTAATTAGCCAAGGAATTGTGGATCCAGCCTTACATTTGACTCCCAGAGAGAGGGCTAATCGCGAAATTAGACATCCACTCCTTCCAACTTTTGTAGAATCACCAAATGGAGATCTTTTTTCATGGGGACCTTTTTATGATAAAATTTAGGGTGTAAATACACCTTGTATAAAATCCTGCAGAATTTAGCAACAGTGTTGATTGTAAAATAATCCATTTACTTTCAGGTTGACTTTCTTCTCTCACCAATTGCAAAACTGATCAGTGGCAAGCAACATCTGGCTCCATTTTTGACCCTCCCAAATCAACGAAGATCCATATAATGCCAAGCTACAACGATGCATCTAGCGTGAGGTCTGTATTGTTATAGTAGGAGATCGATGAGAGTTTGAGGTAATCAAAGATCGATAGACCACAGGATATTTCTATTCGAATTTGTATGATTATTGGCTTTGGTTATTGAATTAGCTTAATTACCCCAACTGGTGTTCCAAGATCAGAGGCTTGAGGGCTTTAAATGATGTTAGATAAAGTTGGCCTGTCTCAAGCAACGTTTGATCGACCCTCTTTGTAGAGATATATAGCTGGGCGGACTACTAGTACTGGCGAGCTCCTCAACAAATGCAAACAACAGCGCGCGCACCTTGAATGACATGTAAAGTTATTGCTCCCGCTATCCAGCGACATATAGAGACCTTTAGTTTTAAAAAAACGCAGCAGTGCTTGACTAGCTAAATTTATCTAGAATTATTGAGCTCAGGTGTGCTCGTAATGGGGATAAGACAGTTCTATATTTTCACTATCCAATCGGGGATATTACCCCTGCCAGCCCAAATTCCAACATAGTTAACTGTGGTCAGGATCCGGACTCCATCCCGGACGGCGCAAAAGTCCCGTCTTATTCCGTTTTATATATTCTGCAAAATCTGGAGAGTGGTATTGCTTTGCCTCAACCGTCCTGGAAAGGGCTTTGGAAAATCGAGTGAGTGACCGTGAGTCAAAGTTTAGTTCCACTTTTCAAGAAAGAAATCTTTAGGTGTTGCATGATTTCCTGGATAATAACTCTCAAGAACCGTCGTAGACTGGGACTAGAGTATGCTACCAACGGCGTTCTCACTGGTACCGCGCTCCTGGTAATAATAGTTTGATAGATTTCAGCTTATTTATCCCGCGGAGGGAGGCACTAATCAATAGTCCTATCTCATTGAAGCGCATATATGTTCTGTCGCATTCACGGATGCTACCCATTGACCGGACAATTCGATATATCGTATAATATAAGAGATATGGAACACATGAAACTATGTGAAAAGCCTTGGGCTTCGTTGCCCAAACTTCGAAACACCGTGAGACAACTGTTAATGTCCGCAAGCATTTTAGCCTTAACTGACAACGATTTTGCTTGTCATTTCCTTGCCTCAGGTACCTCGAGGGCAAGCTGGAAACTACGACATCGAAGCTGTGCCGATCATTGTGATTATGGACCTCAGTGTACCAGTTCTATTATTTTTTTGTTTAATCCATCGATCGCATGCAGACTTTCATCTGTAACAGGCAGCGTACCGGTTCAACTATACCCTGGGGGTCCTCTGGCAATCAGCATGCCTGAACTAGTTCAAGTATGCTCCGAAAAGTGCGATCAGTGGGTTATCCATCCAGCAGTCATCCGGAATAGCAAAAGCGTCCATTGGATAGGATACCCATTCGATGGATGTCCGGCGAATGGGTAGAATCCGCGAATGGGACAGAACATATATGGCCATGGCTATTCATAAACAGTATATGAAATACCAATCCAAGAGATACCAATATAACAATTCCAACTCTCTATGGTGTGACAAATAGGATAAAGAAATGTTTAAGTTCCTGTTAAAGTACCAAATACATGATGGTTATAAGAAAGTCTATCATTACTCTAAGAAGTAATTAGGGATACAGCGAGAATAGTGTTATGGTCGCTAGTTTAAGGCGCAGCGGTGGGTGCTCCTGAGCGGCGTTGAGTGATTGAGATTGGTCAAGAGGAGACACAGTATCACGCGTAATTCTTTCTGATTGCGGTGCACCGCGATTCCTTATTCGAGTGAAATTTTTAATTTCCTTGCGCATTTGTCGTCAAGGACAGCTGGCTGTCAAGAGACGTCGACTGTATTTCAGTACCTTGTAAATTCTCGTAGAGTACGGGATTAAGGCGTACAGTGGCCCATATTTTGAGGGAAAGAGCTTCCTGGCTGTGGGTGAATAGACTTGTCGGAATATCTTCTGACATCCCCAGCACCATATTCATGCTAACTTGCAATGAAGGTTTGGTCGAGCCATACGTAAATGTGCTACATACGTCAAAGGAGCCGAATGGGGTGCGCGCCCGTTCGAAGGCTACTTGTACCTATTCCTCAACAGGATATGATTGTCGATTAATTGAAATAGAGTTAGTAAAAAATATGTGATTTTTAGGATTCGGCAGCGAAGCAGTATGGTGAGCTGCGCTAGATTAGAAAGGGGGGCGAGTGGTCGGGTGTTGTACGTTTGTTTCGCCCCTTTATCCCTTTTTCCCTCTTTCCTCCCTCCTTCCTTTCTCTCTTCGTTCCAGCCATCAACAAACTCCCTTTCATCACCAATCTATCAATTAAATCTTCGAAAACCTGTTCCTTTCACATGATGACTCCGGCACATGCCTTGTGTTCTAATGAGCTAGTGAATAACTCAGTCTGTCCACGGCAAGAAAATGAGCGGATAAACCAGCAACCTGGAGGGTCACATCTCTTCGGGGGTTGAAGCCCTCACATCGACGTATCACTTCATACATTCCATTAGCCTGACTTTGGATGAGGCTCCGACCAGTAAGGCTGGGGGTAAAGCCCACCCACTCCAGCTTATCAAAGGACCTGCCATCGCTTTCGATAGTGTGGGGTTGACCACAAGAGATCCGAACCTCTCTTACCCCTTACAAGAATATGTTATATACTAGGCTCAAAATACTACGTCGACACTCAGAGAATTAGCCACACCTTCAGAATCACTGAGGTTAGCCAGTCGAATAAGGAAGCTTGGTGGAAATTTCAATTTTCTGGTTAGCATAGCGTGAATGTCACGGAAGTCTGCCAGGTATTAGATTGTGCGCCATGCTTATACATCGGGCCTAGCTACCCAAGAGGTTAAGGCAAGCAAGAAGCTTCAAAATCTTTACGAAAGGGGCGTCCTACTCATACTCATGAGCCTGATACCATAAACATTTTAGCGGACTATATTTCACGAGATCTTGAGCCACCTCGTAGGAGTTAATGAGTACATTTTCGGATGAATAGGGCGCCCTGCGGACCAAAATTTCAGATGAGTGAAGCGTTTAAGACGAGCCAAGAATCACCCTGGTGGGACCTTCTTACGGAATGGGCGCTCTTAGAGACTAGTCAGACCATCCAACAAGAAAAAGACTTAGCTGTGGATAACGTGTCAAGAGGATTGGACATACCTCCGGCATTGACCAATCTGTATATAATCCTCCACCGACTTAGGCAGCAGAATACCTAGCCATCCACTGGATATCTGCGATAGATATAACAAAAATCATACTGAACGAAATTCTTACAAGGAATTACCAGCCACAACATCTCTACACACTACCATAACTCCCGGTAATTATGAAAACCCCAAATTCCCCGATAGCTTACACCACGCGATGACTTTGTCTTTGAAACATCATCTCATTCACTGCTTCTGGTGAAAGACCACTCATAAGTAAAAGTGTTTCCACATACGCATCACTTTCGTCTTTTTCGCTGCAAAGTTGGGGCTCATGAGAAAGCTCTGGCCCAGACTTTGACAACACAGTAGCTGGTAGAATAGAAGTAAAGATATCAAGCTTTGATAACTGATATCCTTGCTCACGGTCTACAGGTTGTAGGCTCGCGGTTGAGGGTGCAGGCGTTTGGGTATCAGCGCCCTGCTGCTTGCACCCCGTTTCTTCATGAAACGAAGCTGTAAGTGGTTTCAATATTATGGATTCTGCATATAAAAAATCTCTTAGTTCGATATGATCTCTACCATATATAAAGAGGGATTAATACGCACCCAAAATCTCATCTGAGCCACTATTCTGGAAAACAGCTTTCTTGGATCTTCGAGCCTTTTTGGCAGAAGCCTCAAGAGATAGATGAGTCACATTCTTTCGCCCTCTTAAGAACCTTGAGCTACCGAGAATTGTGACTTGACCCGTATTAGAAAGGGGCCTACGGGAGGTATTCGTCCCACTACTGATAGAGTCCTCACGAAAGGCACCCTGAGTTGGTGATCTATCTTTTGGGACTACAACATGATCAGGGTGTTGTTGAACCCGGCCCATACACTTACGCGACTGTTGATTGGCGTTTGATGAGACAGGCCTTGTGCTATTACTCAGACTAATCATAGGCGCGGAGTGCTCCCGAGTGAAATGCCTTCGACTGGTCGAAACTTCATCTACTACGTGATTGCTGTTAAGAACTTGCCGGTGCTGAAGAGACAAAGGTGAAGCAAGGCTCTTGCAACTCTCTGGGGCCTTGCAAGGCCTGACACTAGGTGCAGATAATTGCTTAGATGAGCTACCAAATACAGAAGATGGAGGGCTCTCAGGGAGCATCTGAGGTCTACTCTCTAGCGTTTCAAGTTCTGAAAGGTTATGATCTGGTGTTGACTGTGTTATATATTTTCTTTTGGCTGCCTTTCTCCTTGAGCTACCGTCAAGAGCCATGACAGACTCTTCGGCGTCGGAATCTGTGTAGGCCTGTCGAATAGGTGGAGAGAAGGATTTCGAAACTGGGGTGTTCAAGAACGCAAACCTGGAACCTGAAATTGGCTTTACAGGCTTATGAACTCCAGCGCGTTTCAATCTCACCGAGTTTGATGTTATAACCTGGGAAGGGAGCGAAGAGCTATGAAAATTTGGCCACTTCATTAGTATATGCTTAAAACCATTGGGTGGAACGGCTATTGATGCTAGTGATTAGGGTACAATCAAAAAGTGTTAAGGGACAGATCTGACTAAAACTGATACTATAGGAGGATAGATGATTAATTGACTAACCGTACAACAATACACTCAAGCATTTCATCATCACTTCCATCCTGTTTGGAAATGTTGACACGGGTACTTTTGCGACCTGGAGCTCGGGCGGGTGGGGTGGATGATCTTGTAGCTGTAGTAGACAAAGAACGATTTCGGAGCACAACCATTGTATGTAGGGCCAGATATATCTAGTGAGTACGCACTTGAGGTAAGTGGGTTATATAATTATTTAACGGTGTTTGAGAGCCCACAGGTTTGTAGGCGCGTAATCGTTTCAGGATGTTGTCCTGATAGAGTTCTTCCCGAGTCAGGTAGGCGGCTAGAAATGAATTCCGGGGCTAAGGGTGCCTTGCAAAATCTCTAGGCAATAGACCCTGACTCTATATAGATTGGTGGAGGACCAAGTATTGACAATGGGAAGAAGAGAGGATGAGAAAAAGTGATGAGAAGGAAGAAGGGAGGTAAGGGGGCCCTTAAGTGTTCGGCTGGATATGTAGGCACATTTTTTTTATTTTAGTGGAATTAGAGTAATCATGGTGGGAAACAGCTAGAAAGGTACCGAAGGTATGGGTAGTTGCATCTCTGGCCGCTTCAGGTGAGAGGCTAGCCATATTAGGCAATACCGGTGAATATCCCTCCCATTACCAGGCTTGGCGCTCGACGTCGTCAGATGGAATGAAGATGGCAAAATTACATCTAGTCACACATATGGAACAGGCAATACTATTTTAGTTTTATGTAAACCCTTCCAGAGCTAGCCAGACAATCGCAGATGTTGCCAACGCTTCTTTTGCAGTACCTATATAGTACATCTTTCATCATCCTTGGATCAGAACGTTGATTTCTATGAATGCAAAGGGCACTATAAGGGGTGTCACGATCGATAGTGTATTAATACATCAGTATGTATGGTAGGTGCTTATGATATCAAGTATGAGCTATATGAAGTGGCGTCTTTCTGCCGTCCCTTCAGCTGTCGATGCCGACCCTCCTATAATAGAGGAATTGGATTTGTATGAGAGATCTATTATTTGATAAGAGAGATAATGGGATCTGTTATTAAATTAGCCACAGCAAATTTTTTTTTTTTGGTGGGTCCGAATTTTCGCGACAGCTTAAGGGATAGATAAACACCCGTGTCCTCTGTGCAGCTTGCCTTTTCTGTTTTTCTCCCGCAAGCACATACCTACTCGAGTACGTACGTACACGTATCCATAAAATGTAGATCTGCCAGGGGCGAATAAGGATGTACCCCTTAATCTGTCGACCCTTTTAGTGGGGATTTGCTAACGAATTCCTTGATTTTTTTATCTGAATCAATCTCTGATCACCAATCGCTCACCGAGATTTACTGTTGACCCCATAAATGTTTCAGCAATTGGCAGCTTAAGGGATAAGTAATCGCATAGTCCGTGTGCCTATTACTTGGGTTAGTTGTTCCAAACTTGAAGGCTGACACGGCTAGCTCACAGATTTTCGTCAGTGGACCAATAAGACCACAAACAGTCCAACACGATGGCAGGGGTGGGAGCTGGTTGACTAGGAGATTCTTGAGTGGACAAAAAAACTCAGGAACAGACGAAGGAGGTTAGTGCTAGTTAAAGACTTCATGATTTGGCCAGCAGGTCGAGAGGACAGGTTGACGGACTTTACGGATATATATGACTGCAATTTCCGCGCTCACACGAATGTCATTCCGTCATTTCTACGAGCGATAGATCACACAGCTCAAGACCGTACAACCCAATCATTTTTGGGGCTACCATGAATAAAAAGCCTACATGACAAGGATGGATGTACTTAATAAATGGATCATCAATTAATCGAACCCTGCGTCATGATCTATCACTCACTCTCAACTACGTCGACCTATTTTTGGAATTTTTTTTCTTTCTTTAATTCCGTCGTATGGAGATCTACCTATTGAATATGGGAATGAAAATTACGGGGGAATCATAAGGGTTGACTTCTTTGCTTTCTTGTCGTTAAACCCATTGATTGTTTGTAGCCTTTCTTTTGCTTTTTTTTGTTTAATTGCATGCGATTGTAGCCTAGGGGCTGTGATATAACATCTAACACATTTTATCACCAGAACTCCTCAAGCCAACAGTGCTCTCAAAAATCTAGATAGGGAATAAACAAATATAATTATTCGAAATACTTTTATTTTATCCCTCCTTCGGTCTTCAATTCTCCTGCCATCTATAACTCGCCCAAGGCAGACCTCGAATCCGTTGCTTGATCGACTACACCCGCGAAACAATCTACACAATATACATGTATTCCTATCTACGCATGGGGAGTCATCCAGTAATACTGGTACAAAATACTATCACAACTTCCTGTAAAAGCCGGACTCAGTTCCTGGAGTACCAAGACGTCACACTTCATGGAGAAAGGATAGGCTGTATTATACTGAGCCCTTAATATAATCTTGTGCTGACTACTCAATTAGCACACGGGAATATCGGATGGAATGTGCCTTGCGTGCTGGCATGCTATGCAAGGGTACGAAGTGACACTATGAGCCATGTCCGAGTATGTCCTGGTGGGCCTAGAGTTAATGACATACAAGCGCATATCGAACAAACAGACGCAGAAGGGCTATGTATAAAGGATCGTACTATCTCCGGTCGTAATGTTACCTCAAACTCGAAGAATCAAAGTTTTTATACAAGCGAGTGATATCTCATGTCGTAGAAGATTTCCTCGCAACCCATATTTGTAAATTTAATAGTTCTAGCTGCACAGCTTGGTGCTTCGTATTGATGCGGTACGAGTCAGTTTTATCCCCATCTCTCATACTGTCTGTATGGATAGCTGAGCATTGACGTCGAAGGGTTAGAGTTCTGCTGATCACTTCCGGTGCGTTACCAAGCATGGGCGGGTGGTCTAGTGGTTAGACTACTCGCCGGGTTAGACACCGCGTGTTTACCTAGGAATCACACATAATGTCCTGGGTTCAAACCAGGGGTGGGTGTAGTAGCGCACATAAGTCGCTGCAGTACCTTTTATGCGTAGGGCTTTCTTGCTTTCTTTTTCTTTTTTTCTATCTCGGCTGTCATTTTACATTATCAGATGTGGAGAGATTTTCAAGAGATCGACCATTTTACCTAGCCTTAAAATTTTTGATCATCGAGGGATACAAGTATGCTGGGTTATAATTATGGGCCGTCTGTGGTGCATCATGTTCCATCACTCGGACTATTCAATGCGTTTGTTAATTGAAATGGTATCGTACTAGCATTTGTTCCTCCACTAGAGGAGCTGCAGGTTGAATTTTATTGGCTGAAATTTCGTCTCACAAGGCGGATGGCTACATATACTTATGTTACAACATAATTTGATGATAAGTTGTAAACGTATTACATTGGAGTACTGATGAGTACTTGGTGAGTACTAGAGGTGGGGTCTACAAATGTATATGAAGATTCACGGACCCTTATAGATATGCATGGGGATATACGAGTTCTGAGTATACGTATGAATTCAACAGGTACATAAATGTTGTAATGACAGTAGAAACATAGAGAACGGCAGATATAAAAAAAAAAAAAATTCATCAATCTCCTCCTACATCGGTTCCGGCTCCACCCATACCTCACAAGAAACAAATCCAACAATAATCCTCATTATTGCCAAGGAAATAAAAAAAAAGACACGAGTTCAAAAAAATACCTCCCATATACAGTCCATTCGGAGGTAGTTAGCTTACTGTCCATCAGTAGCAGCGGGGACGAAAAGGATGGCCGAACTGAGCGGGAGAGGTGTGGAATCTGGGCCTAGTGGCTCGGGGATGTTCGAGATGACATTCACGCCACCGCGGAAGATCAAACAATGCGACGATCCTCCGAAATGGAACATTCCCATCTCCTGTCCCTTTACCAGCTTGTCACCCGCCGCGACCTCAATATCGCACGTGGATACCTCCGCCATGCCCACAGCCATGAAGCACATCAAGCCAATATCTGGGTTGTCCGCTTGAATGAAGATGAGACCACGGGTGGCAACCTCCGTGAGATAGCCCTGGGACAAGTTTGGCGCCGCCGGATCTGGCCCCGGCTTTGTGCTGGTTGGGGGAGGCCAGTGTTGGATCCTCTCCGAGTAATATGTTCCCTCAATGATGCATGTCTTGACCACCGTGCCGTTGACGGGGCTGTGCCAGCGGTGGTAGGACAGGGCGCTGAGATAGGCCTGGTAGACGGTTCCGCCAACGAATTGCGGAGCGTAGGGAGAGGCATCTGGCCCTGACAGCATATCGGTGACCGAGTACGGCTGGCCCTTAATCCAGAAGGTATCACGTTCCTTGATGTTCTGTACGAAGGCGTATGGCGCTGATTCGCATGCGTTGCAGATAAACCTATCGTCGTTTGGCTGTTCGACAGGCCTGACGCCCGGACGGTACAGTCTGGTGAAGAAGTCGTCCCATGATACATAGCCGTAGTATTGCTTCGTGGGGTCGCAAATAAAGGTGGTAGCGAAGTTCTGTAGCACAGATTCCTTCTCGGCCTCTGGGCCAAACCAGCCGTCCTCGCTCGTGTTAAGAACGCTGGCCGATGCCGGGGAGGTAAGATAGGTTGCCCACACAGCCAGCATCTTCTTGAACTGAGCGTTGACCTTGGGGTTATGGAACGCTTCAAATCCGGCTGGAGTGCCCATGGGCCAATCGAGGATGGCATTGATAGGGAAGCCAACCAAGCCTTCCGTCTGGTAGTCTGGTGCTGTTGTGAGGATCGCGTCGAACAAGTCGAGCATGTGGTTGTAATCGCGGACTTGCGGGTCATTATTTGGATCTAGGTTGTAAGGGGGTTTGTTTGGGACCTGGGTAAACATCAGGTTGAAGAGCATGAAGAGGATAGAGTCGCCCTCGATCAATTCGGCGAACTCTTGGATGACGGGGCTGCGGTCCTCAAGTTCGCCTTTGGCTTTCTTTTTGTCGACACGCTTGATCAAGTTCTCTAGCCACTTTCTCAAGACTTCATCATCTTCGGGAAGCCATTTGCCAACACGATAAGTGTGTCGGCGTGGAGCCTCGGTACATGCAGTAGACATTTCGTATGAGTATAGATAGAAGCTTAGATTTCTCTGTGTGTGTGTGTGTATGTGTGGGTTTGAATTCTCGTAGTCTCTGTGGATGTGGATGCTCTCTCTCTCTTTATCCTCACCTCAAGGGTAGAGACGTATCTTATATAGGGCGAGGTGGGAGTTGCTGGAGGGTGAGGAATATTAAAGACCGGAAGTACAGGGTGAGCTGATGATCATGCTGATTATTCCGAGTTCCGCAGCCTGATAAAAAGACCGTTTCCGGAAATGATGAGGGCTACATGTAGCCATGCATAACTCCACAAGATGGCTATGTTGTAGCTTGGTGCCCGATTATACAACGTATTCCGGCGAGTCTCAAGCTCTGCCGCTGTGAAAGAACTAGACACAGTAAGTACACATGCAGACCACGATGTACGACCAAAAGAACGGATGTGCATTATACAGCGCTACCTGGACATCCACAACTCTGCATGATCAACTCAATGATGAAGGTCAAGCTGAAAACATGATCATTCGAGCAGGACAAAATATCCCGTCCGGCCACCTCCGATCGATAACCAAACTGTGTATCACGGCAAGACCGAAACAAAATGATACAGGCTCTACATATTCAGTTATATATATCCACTATCAGCTGGTGGTTCCTCCACAGAAGCTCGAGACACTAGCTCATTAGCGCTCTGAATATTAGCTAGCCAGCTAATATATATTTTCCCAGTTAATACCACAGATATGCCTCTGTTAAGGGTGGTCAGAGGGCCATATGGAGAAAGCTAGTATGTGGTACGTTGAATTCTGGTTTCCGTAGAAATGTCTCACTTGAGTTCCAAGACATGTTTCACACCACAAATGGGAATCACTGCACACAGGCGCAACGAGATGCCCTATCGATAACCGCCGATACGGTTGCCCAGGTGAAATTATCAGGAGCAGAGACAGAAACGTGCAGGCTGCGTACGTACCTGGAGTCAATCGTGGCTATTACTTGCATTCATTGCGCCCTAAGATGCCCACTGAGCCCACCCACTCGAGCATATCTCCCGTGCTTGTTGCTACTACATAGGCGATACCATACATAATATGTACATATATACATCACCAAACAGCCAGCTTGTTGATCACAGGTACCATATAGGATCTCGATATCATGGTGCAATTCCAATTGTAGGGAATGCCTTCTCAGGATCCGAACGAATCGTCATGGACAAGTGATTTCCATAGTGTCTTGATGAATGGAAAAGTTAATATCGAAACCTAATTCTTTTTGCTCCTATTCGGATGCAATTTCGGCGCGGGGTAGCTCTTCTATATTCGAGATACATTATCGTACCACATATATTCCCCATAAGTCGCCCTAGTGTTACTTACCTTTGCGGTATGCATGGTGTGTGTGGGGTAGTGGACAACTATTCCATACTTAGAGTCTCGTTGTTATAAACTGGGCTTTCCTACGAGTTGCAGTTGCCTAAAAAAACGTAATTTAAGCGCAGAAATATTCACCTACATGGTACGCACAACCTAGACCCACTTCTCTCCTCTGTGTCCACTTCTACATACGGATATCCGCATTGTATCGAGAAGTATTTCTCCACTTTTGTAACCGGAGGCGTTTGGGTAATACGATAATGTTTAGCTACGCCTGTCAAGTGAGGCATTAGGGTAGCTGCATAGGGCGCTGCGTGCGTTTGGGCGAGCAACGGGCTGAAAAAATCTAGAACACGTGTGCATAGTAGTTATTAGTAGTTCATCTCGCGCTACAAATTATTGAGATCTAGATCCAGATCCAGATCCAGGTAGATATATATCTTGGCACGGCGATCATTGTCATATCTGTCTGAATAGTTAACTATTATATATATAGCAGGATTTATATTACGGCACTAGACTATTATCTCCAAACCTCTACTCAATTACCAGAATTTTGATACGAGTTATAACTCTCAGCTAGATCTTCGAAGGTGAGTTATAGGTACCTAGCTATTAGTAAATACGTGTTTGAATCTTATGCCCGTATCTGTCAATGCTAACCGGCTCCATCCTTTGTAATCGCATTGATTAAGGCGACAAACATACGATTGAGGGCGAGTGTGTATCTTGTGGCGTAAGTAACTCTCTCCAAATCGGTTTTGGGGGCGTTTATTATCCCCAGTCGGGCGGAGAGTTCAGCCCAAGCAATATCGCCTCAGCCTCAAGTGGGGCATGCTGCATGTACCGGGTGTTGAGGTAAGTGATCAGAATCTGATAAGTGAATGTTACGGTGAATAGGTGTATTTGTCTTATCAGATTCTGATCACTTTTCGCTACACCCTAGTACATAGTTGATCCATGTGGCGCTCGCTAGTAACAAACACTGGACCCGAGATATCGCTTCTCAACCCTAACCCTGAACCGCACCGGTGCTCAGTCCTAGCTCAGCTGGCCAATCATGGGCTGTTACTTCTCAACGTGAGACATCCTAACCTTCAGGGCAATGTTATCGCCCAAGCCACAAATTTGAACTCGCCTATGTAGGTATGATTATGATATTACTAGGCAAAGCTGACAGCCTTAACAGTGCTAGCAGCCATGCAAGGCATAACCACAGGGCCTTCTTGGAGGCTGACCTTCTAGATGGAGGCCCCCGAACAATATCACTACTCAAATGTGATTATCAGAACCTCATTTTGATTGGCCTCGATAATGAGGGGGTGGCAAGAGAAAGCATCGGGATATGATAGATTCATAGGTTTCGTTGCACACATTATCAGGCAGACCATACTAGCTCCCAAATCCGTGTTCTTTCTGTCACCGTCTCAATTAAACCCCAAACCCAGTAATGCATACCACTGCACTTGCCACAGCCTATGCCGCAAATCCGTATCTGGCTTCAGGCTCGCTCGTGACAGCCCCAGTACTTTCATGGCAGTACCAAGGTCTACTACCCCTCGCTCTCACCTTCTAAGCTTGTGTTGGTTCTCATACTCAACCCACCTAGTTCTCATAGAACGTTCAACACGTAACGGCCACAGTACCACAGCTATTCTATGAGCAGATATTTGTGAACGTAATTAAACCCCCCACAAATGTCTTCCAATCCCTGTAATCGTAATGAGTAGCTTCCCTGCAAAAGATCACCTCCCAAGTAGCTGATTACTGACTCACTCGATCTTGCCAATGTTCCATACAGACCAACATGGTTTATCCATCTTCCGTTGACAAAAATTCTCAGGACCTTACTACCGCTCTACATGACTGCGTAGAAGAGCTTGAGACGCTGCAAAAATCCAATGACCAACTTAAAGCAGAGATCACACGGCTACAAGCTATCATTACGGGGCTAGTAGACCCTCAAGAGCTTGATGTACTCCTACAAACCATCGAACAACTGAGAGAGCAGCTTGAGGCGCTCCAAGAATCCATCGATCGACTCCAGGCAGAGCTTGAGGCACTCAAAGAATCCAACGACCAACACAGGGTAGAACTTGACGTTCTCCGGCAATCCAACGATCAACTCAGGGCAGAACTTGAGGCTTTCCGGCGATCCAACCATTATCTCAGAGCAGAGCTTGAGACGCTCCAACAATCCAACGATCAACTCAAGAAAGAGATCGCACAACTGCAAGCTACCATTGGGAGTCTATTAGAACCTCAGGAGGTTGACATACTCCTGCGTTCCATCCATCAACTGACGGGGGAGCATGAGACGCTCCGGAAATCCAACGATCAACTTAAAGCACAGCTTGAGCCACTCCAACAATCTAACGACCAATACAGGGTAGAGCTTGACACTCTCCGACAATCCAATAACCAGCTCAAGACAGAGCTCCAACAGCTGAAATCTACCACGAGGGAGGTTAAGAAACCATTAGGTTTCGTTATTGGATCTTTCCACACCGACGACATACGCCCCAGAAACCGTCCAGAGCAAAAGTGCTCAAAGGAAATTATCTTCGAAACTCCCTACCCAGAGAAACCCACCAGCGTGCTTCTAGGGCTCACTGATATAGATGTCGCGAATTGGGAGCATGTCCGGATCTATTCCCACACTAGCAACATACTGAATGACCGGTTCACAGTTCACTTGGACACTTGGGAGGTGGCAAACTTACATGGTTGTGGTTGCGCGTGGTTGGAAATTGCAGCAGATCATGATCCGGACTTACGATTTGGAGCCGTGGCATGGGGCCAGCCCTGGACGACGGTGATGGAGCGCTTCACACGGAGAGTCTCTTTCGAGCATGAGTATCCTTTCCCACCGGTGGTGGTGGTGTGGCTAAGTGCTCTTGCCATGGACAAGAGGACAGACTGGCGGGTGAAGACCTATGTTTCTCAAGTCACCACGACTGGCTTCACCCTCCACATCGACACTTGGGGGGATTCTAATTTGTACGGTGCCGAGTCCACATGGCTTGCCTATCCAGCAGATACGCCAAGAATATTGAGTGGCAGTTACAATACACTGCAGGTACGATTGTCGCACCCAGCACGACAGGTAACTACCGGGACTGTTGACTTTGGTAATACCTTTCAAACGACGCCCCGCGTTTTTGTGGCCTTGAATTATATCGATATGGATCATGTTCGTAATCTGCGGTTCTTCATGAGACAAGTTGTGGTCGATCGATCGAAGATGGATTGGAGTCTTAATACTTGGGAGGATAGTATCTTGTATGCTGCAGGCGCTTCTTACATTGCTATGGAGTAGCTGCGGCAAAGAGTTTAGATGGGGTGAATTTTATATGAGATTGTTTCCAAATTGGTTCCGGCGTGCATGTTTACTGGCGAATTCAGGTTGTTTTATTGTCTCTAGATATGTTCCTATTAGCTGAAGGCTTCGGCATCCGGTTATTATTTTTCATTTTGTATGGGTTAAATTGAAATCTTTAAAGATGATTAAACAACTGCGTGTATACTTGTATGTACTCAATGATTATGAAGATACATGTAGCTGGTCTGTCTTGGCCAGTTCGTTTTGGTAACACCCCACACTCTGCTACATATGTAAGTCTGCTTTTACCCCACCCTCCTGCGCTAGGACGGGTCGGCCCGCTCCTCGCTTATCGCGCCAGACATGTGCTAAGATAAGCTTACTTGCCTCTCTGCTTTACCCCTCCATGCCCTGCTCCACTGCTCCACTGCTCCACCACCCCCCCCCCGAAAAAAAAAAAAATCCATCCAACTCGAATTCGGAAGTGCCTCAGATGGAGATCGATCAGGACGATAGGCGTCTATCACCTCTGGCTTATCAAGCAGTAGTAGCGTATTTAGGGATACACTCCATATCCATCCCGGATTATCGGAAACTCTACGCCGAAACAGGCCAAAAACTTGCACAGGATGAGCAGGAGACAGACGAAACTGTATATGCAAACATCATACCTTTCGAAATATCATTGCAAGCACTCTCTATCGAAGATGATAAAATGTTGCTTTTCTGTTCCTTTGTGGGGGGAGCAATATTGCGCTAGATATACTGTCTCATTTCCTCAAGCGCCGTCAAGAGAGTAAGAGCCTCTCTCATCTCATCTCAATTCCTTGATACAGTTTGCTAACTTCTCAACTGCAGTAATTAATTTATCTATTGTAAAACTGACAGGTTATGGCCTTGTATCTCAGGATGAAAGAGGTATATCGATAGAAGAGACCATCAAGGACTGATTATGGGTCTGAAATACTCTTCCTCGGCGCCTTCCTCTTGTACGGGAGATGATGGTTCAGGTCAGCAATTCGATATTCCTTGGTCGTACTCCATCGAAAATGGACTGGGAGTTTGCAACGCTTTCTTCCCCGTACTTTGGGGAACTCGCAAATACGATTCTACGTTTGAAAGACTCTGGAGCCTCCATCTGGGACAAGGAGACTTTGGAAGCAGCAGTGACGATCGCTGATACTGCTAGGAGGGTTGGGGAGAACAAAAAATCTAGAACATGTACTTCCTATCCTAAAAGAAATTCCTGGAAACGAAGACACCCTGATCCTCAATGCAACAAACGCCCTATCCGTAGTATTCATTAACTTGAACAACTGGAGAGCAGCAGAGAGTCATCTGCGCACGCTTGTCGAGATTCAAGAACGGTTCTCGCATATCGAAGGTTGCTCTTACGTCACGCAACTAAGTAACTGGGCACGGGTCTTAGTTAAACTCAACAAGCATGATGAAGCTAAGGCTACGTTGATCAAGATAGCCGAGCTGGGGAAGCGCGTTGATGATCCTACTGAAGTATTGATTCACCGACTCAAACTTGCGGAGACACAGAGATTCTGTGGGGACTTGAAGGAGGCTGAGGGGCTTTTGTTGCAGGTATTGAAGGATAGTCGAGAGGGACTGAGGGCGGACCATCTCAAAACTATACGTGTGCTTGAGCTCCTCTGTTATGTGTACTACGATCAGAAAAACTGGGCGCAAGCTGAGTTGAAGGGTTTTGAGTTGGTGAAGTTAAGTCAGTAGGCGCTCGGGCCCAAGCAACCTGATACAGTGAGGAGGGTGAGGTTTCATGAGAAGATAATACAGATAAGGGGCAAACAAAGGGAGTAGCCTCCGAATGTTATATCCTAGTCAATCTTTCTTTATTTCTCTTTTTTTTCGTCCACAAAATTATAAATATGAAGACTGGAGTGCGATTACATATTCTTGACTCATGTGCACTACTGCTTTTGCCTCCTTAAAGGGAAAATATAGTCAAGGCTTGGCTATATTACTCATAATACAATTATAGCACTGGAAAGTGTAGGTACATCTCCCCAGTAAACCTGCCCTTACTAAACCGACGAAAAACCGTCCACTTGTCCCGAAACCGACGGATTAGATCGGCCACTATATTTACATATTCAGCAACCCTAACCCTGACTAACAGCGGGGCTCGTCGCCGCCGCCGCGGGTCACCACGTGTTTTGATGAGCACGGTCAAAGCGACAAAGAATTAAGTTCGTTTGTTTGTCAGAAGACGCTGGGCCAGCGGTCAATGATCATATTCACAAGATATTATTCTATCACGTGCTGTGGGTTAGGAATGATTGGCGTACGTAAGCAGCAACAACAGTCGTGTGCGCAAGGGTTAGGGGTGATTATGGTGGCACGATGTTTTTCATTATTTCCCAATTGCGCCTATGGCTGCCGGCCGTATCAAGTAAAGTAGCGGTCATGGAGCCTTGGATGTGCAAGGCATACATGTATACGTCGCGTCTTACATTCGTTCCTTGAAAGCAGTAACATAACCGGGTGACAGCTGGTGAAGTATTTCCATAACAAGTAAAAAGCGCGAGCTTTAACGATCGGCGTCCTTTTGGAATTGCTTCGGTTTGTACCAGCTGGGCGTTAATTATTTCCCGTGCCACGTACGAGTGTATGTGTAATTAAGGCCTGTTGAAGTATTTCAGCAGGAGAAGGAGCGACCGGGTGGGTGAAGGATTACTGCCAAATTGTCCAAGTGCTTAGTAACAGGGCATCACTGTCTTTCGCTCATTTGGCCGTTGTCGTGGTTGTGAGAAAGGAGAGGAAAGAAACATTCAGCAGGTCAAAGATTAAATTAGCTGTCTTGGAATTAACATTGTCTGCATGATCTGTGAATGGCTGGATAGATCTAGACATATACGTATACTTTGGTGATTACATTTACCTTTCCGGCGCGGCGCAACCAACCCCGTCCATTGTTATATATATAAGTAAAAAAAGACAAGAAGGATCTCAGGTTTATAATTAATTACATGTATGTCTCACAGATTCTCGTGTACAAACCGTGCCGAGACGTTTTCTCTTCTCTGAGCATATACGTCGATCGGGTACGGGTGTACAATACGTAAATTCAGTCAGAAATAGCTCAGGACTGCTCGAGTATATTTCGTCGGCCATTTGAGAGTAAACTATACCATGCATGACTCTTTAGGAACACTCTGCCTCCAACCACCAATGAATCACTACATGTAATCATACCGATGGCCATAAAAGCCCAAACCCAGGCAGACCTACTAACTGCGATTAAGATTTTCACTGAGAGCTATTTACCAGTGCTGCATAGAGTTTACTGGCAGTACCGGGTGCATCATCATCCTGAATATCTGAGGCTCCCGATCGAAGCCCATCAATCTTTGCGCCGGTACCGCTCGTAGAGGCGTGCAGAGTTCCTGATCTCGTAACTTAGCATTTGTTGGATTTCCCCCCCGTTTAGGTTCACCGTTTCGCCTACCTCGGTCTCTGTCTTTGCGTTCACGCATGGGAGCCAAAGGCTTACCTGTCCCTTCAGCTAGCACAGGAAGAGATCTGTCCCCCGATGGACGTTCTTTCCCGGCACAGTTGCACCAGCAACAAACAGCCTCCTCCAACGTGCCCGGGGAACACGAGACATATAGACTTTTGTGATGAGTGACAGCTCGGGATGAACATTACAAAATTGAAGGGTTCTATCTGTTCATACTAATCATTTCTTGCTTGTGGCTTGTGTCTCATAGACATATATAGAAGCGCAAGAAATTAACCACTTTTAGGCCTATGCGTGCCGGAATTAAGGATGTTAACGCCATGAAGGGAAGACACCGCATGTCTGGGCGTGCGTAGAGCATGTATTTATATGTACGGAGCTAGACATATACTGTTGAGCTGACTGACCATGGCTAATATCGCGGTGCTGGGCATGACTCAGAAAAACAGCATTAACTACAAGTAGTCCTGCTAATCCCGAGCGACGCAACGAGTGATATACCATGATTTGACTAAACACATATTTTCTTTTGTTTAATTCATTAATTGCATGCAACCTTACAGTTATGGCAATGGCCCCTGAACTGCCCCTTCTCTTCCATCGCCACTCACGAAAACTGGACATATGAAAGTGAACATGTATGAAAGTCTTGACCTATTCCTCGTCTCTAGCGTCCTTCAGCGTTCCCCACCCGTATCCCATCTCTCTCCTTTCTTCTTCCGCGCTCTCGTGACCAAACGCATATATACATAGAAGGCTGTATCGTATTCTCATATATAACTCCACGGTACCACAGAAAAGTAAATTGAGCCGATTGAGCTTCGTAATGTCAAAGTTTCCCGCTTGGCTCGTTTGTTGATTCAGCAGGTACATAGTCAAATTAGTATTTTCAAATCTGAGCTTGTGATAATCAAACCACCATCACCACCCTCCCTAGCGAGCTTGATGACCGCGAATCCTGCAACGTATCCAGATAGATATACCGTATCTCGAACCAGTCTGAAGAATTGGCAGACGCCGTCTTATCCGGATGAATTCAAATATTGCTGTTATGTGATGGTTAGTTGTAGAACTATCGATCTTTCACACGCCGTCCTCTCTCGCCCATTGATTGATCACGGCACTAATAACTGGGTCCGCGGTTTTGACAGGTCACAAAAAACCTGATGGTGGTGATCAGTGATCTAACACTTGTGATATTTAGATTAGTTTCGAGCAAGCGCCGTGCCCCCGTTATTATATACATATATATATGTGCAATTATATATATATATGCATCCGACCCATCAAACGCCTTGCGAAGCGGCCAGCCAACCACAGAAGACGAGTTACGTAGGAAAATATTAAGCGAATGGGACATTGGTAGTATTTTATTGGCTGCCTTTCCCTCTGGAATCAGGTTTGGCCAACCTGGGTGGATGGGGACTACAATATCTAGCTACTATTCTCAGGGATAGATAATATTAACGGCGATTAAGTGCAATTGGTGGAGAGATGCGTTTTCGGATCACATCCGTGGCGATAAGATAGGTATATCGATAACGAGCCCAGCCGGAACGCGTACTAGCTAGCACTCTTCCTTTTCTCGCATGAATATTCTTGCGGAGACCAGTTAGGTCTGAGGGCGGAGGGGGTGGGATACGTAGTTAGTGGTCAGGGTTTAATTGTCGCCCTCGTAACTGCCGACCGGATCTCTCTTCCAGGAGGAGTAGGTTATAGGCAGATGTTGTAGATGATCAATATACTCAGTGGCTCTCAACGGTGTGTGATTACTAGACACGGTGCTCTTGCTTCTCTGCATGGTGTGCGAGTTATCAAGGATGTCAAGCTTGGTTGCAGCGGGCGGGAGTGTCACGGCAGCGGTGGCGTCGCAACTCAACGTCTGGGGGATGTCAATGGGTATCTGTTCTCTGGTGCGTGTACGTGTGTCGTGTCAGTTTATATTCAAAGGACCAAGGGAGAAAAAGAGATAGAGATAGAGAGATCTAGCCCTACAGGACAGCTATAGATAGCTAGACTATCGGGGCGAGAGAGAAAGAGAAACAGAAACAGACCACCGCGATAGCCAGATATCGATAGGCTGCATGCATACCAAGCCTCGTAAAGATCTTGGATGCTGCATCTGCGCCCGAAGAAGGTCAAACACACAGAAATGCGTCATTTAGTTACGATCACTATTATTGACCCCAACGCGCTATCCATCCCATTCGTAGACCTGCTATGTAATTCTGAATTTGAGAACTTACTCGCTCAGAAGTGCCTAGTGCACTACATACATATCTGTCTGCATAAATGCGCATACACACATGAGCTGATTCAACGTATATACATATATAGAGGAAGTCCTCTCGCATCTACTATCTGTATATACCCCCACTCGTCTTTACTCTTTACTCGAGAGTGCAGTCAGGACCTGTGGGGGCTGCTTGGCAACTCCTTGGCAGAAGGGTCCCTGTGGGCAAGGGCAAGGGTTAATCGTGCCGCAAACCGGCTGCTAAGCGAGAGGAAAAGCAACAAAAACAACGAACGGCTGATCTGCAACAGTCGGAGATCGGCATGAAACGAAATGCGGTTGAGAGGCCGGGGTAGCCCCCGCCTGGAAAAATAAAAAATAAGAAAAAATAAATATACATATAATAAGGCGATTTCGAAGGTTGAAAGCCATTTCAGATCTGACAGTACATCACTCTGATCACCCAAATAAACATGCACATGCTCTGAAATCCAAACCTCACCACTTTGTAGAAATAGATTTTTTCTTCTGGCTCCCTGGGCGGGCAACGGAGTTCCTGGCCAGATGCCTGCCCTGGCAAATAGAGTGCATGTAGATGCCTTCCTCCGGCACTTGCGGATGCACAAGGGTATTTAATCTATGCACGTTTAGGTCTCGCAAAGTACGAATACCATGGGTTGTCGGTGAATGAGTCCTCACAGCAGAGGTTAATATGAGTGCTGAGTGTGTTCGATCAATACCGTATCACTTTAATAACATCGGTATTATCAATTTGGCTGGTGTTAACCTTTTGTGTCATTTGAGCTACTAATTGTTTCTTCACGGTGGGTGCGTCCTCCAATTAGGCAATTCCCTGTTCATATTTCGTATTCTAAGCTTTTCACGCTTTATAGGCATGTGCAAACATCTTCGACACCCCTCCTCCGCTCCCCCCGTAACTTACACAATTCAGAAAACTACGCGCCACAATTAAGGACTCCCTAGAGTTGAAACCCCTCATAGAAAGTTTCCGTGGCAGAAAACCGAGAATCTGCATGGTATGCAAAACCTCCCCATCTCCCAAGCCAACCAACCCGGATTCTTCGTGATTAATGCTGATCAAATGTATCTGATCTACAGCACCGCCGAGGGAATCTGTTAGCTAGATATGGCGGCACGGATACCTAGCCTCCGCAACTTTATTTATGCCCTGCCATCTAGCGGACATATTCCGGAACGGTAACTCCAGCTTCCGTCCTGTATCAATCCGTGTTGGGAACGACGAGATTCTTCAGGATTTCCAGATATCGGACATGAGGAATGTTGCCCAGTTACTTTCGTTATCATCGTGCACACTACAACACAATTGATCCGAAACAATCGTCGCCCCCCAGTTGTGTCACGAGCGGTCGTGGCATCGAAGAGGTTGCTGCTCCGGAATTCTTAGTGGCTATTAAGAAAATGCCTGCTTAGCTTTGGAATATAAAGACCGTCCATATTCTTGGGTTATGACAATTATCCGATCAAGACTACATCATTTCGCGACTTTGGCCGTCTTAAAAAAAGAGAAAGAAAATAGTGCTGGTTGTACCAAATCTTTAGAATCTCTGATCTTCTACCCAAGATGGGTTCTACTCTATCACGACTAGAGGTGTTTACACCTTACTTGACATATCCCAATTTGCTCTCTTTGGCAGCAGCATACGTACGTTCATTGGCTATGAGATCCTCTCTTTCATTTGACCCTTTGCAACCCACTGACGGTAGTGGGATAGTGTGCGCTTTACTTGGTTGTTGAAGCTTTCTACAACCTCTTCATCAATCCCAACTCAATATACCCCGGCCCAAAGCTTGCCGCGGTGACAAAGGTATGTAATAAGACATATCCGAATACTCAGTAGCAAGCGTTGACATTCCTTCAGCATTGGATTTCCGTTCCTTGGGTGGCTGGGAACTATCCTCTTATCATCAAGGGTCTGCACGAGAAGTACGGGCCCGTTGTGCGTATCGGCCCCAACGAGCTATCCTATAGCTCTGCCAGCTCCTGGAAGGACATCTACGGCCATGTCGGGGGCCGCAAGGTATTTACCAAAAGCTCTTTCTATAACGACGGCACAGAGCCATCCGTCGTCAGTGAGCGCGATCCCCACAAGCACGGAAGGTTGCGCCGCCTTTTGAGCAATGGTTTCTCGGCGAGATCTCTGGCGGAGCAGGAGCCGGTCGTGCACCAATTTGTCGACAAGTTCATCATGCAGATCAACAAACACGTCACCAATCCCAAGGGTGACGATATGGTGAAGTGGTATACGTTTGTTGCGTTTGATATCATTGGGGATTTGGCTTTCGGTGATCCCTTCGGAAGTCTGGAGGATGGTGAGTCGATACTTCCAAGCACCCCCTCTAAAAGACACCCGAGATGCAGGAGCTGTGGTTAACATGGCGGATGGTGGGTAGGAAAAACACACTTTTGGGTGGAAAATGTATCCAAGGGAGTGGCGGCAGGCAAATGGATCTTTGCTTTCCAGAAGAACTGGATTCTCAGTAATCTTATCCCCCAACTGGTGCCCAAACATCTCAAGATCGCCAGAGAGAAGCATCTTAACTACTGCCAGGGCAAGATTGATAAGTACGTGCATCATGAGCAATAATCTTATTTGAGCTAGCCATACTAATGAATTCCCATCGCTTTGTCTGCAGACGTCTTGAAGAGAAGAACCCCAAGAAGGACTTACTCACAGTCCTCATCGCCAAACACAATGCTGGGGAACGGTTCACGCCTGGTGAGATGAGAAGTAACTCTCAACTGATAATGTAAGAGATATCCCACCCCATATCTTTTCTTTCGAGTCCTATCCTGCTATCGGAATCATTAGTAGTATGATGTATATGCTGACCCACAATTCGCACTATCCACTAGTGTTGCCGGTTCCGAGACTACCGCCACCTTCCTTTCCGGCACCTCGTTCTACCTCTGCCGTAACCCGGCCACCTACAAGAAGCTTGTCGACGAGATTCGTGGTGCCTTCAGCAGCTATGATGAGATCACTGGGCTGGCTACCGAGTCATTGCCATACCTCAAGGCCGTCATCGATGAGGGCCTTAGGATCTACCCGCCTGTTCCAATGGGCATGCCAAGAGTCAGTCCTGGAGAGACAATTGATGGCAAATACGTCCCCGAGGGAGTAAGTCTCACGATATCACCGATATCAATGACCCCGATTCATTGTCTGCCCTCCAACACACTAATGAAAAATTGCTGAGAAACGTGCTACTAGACTATTGTTATGACATCATCCTATGCCGCTACACACTCCGAGCTCAACTTCCATCGTCCGGATGACTTTGTGCCCGAGAGATGGATCGACCCCAACTGTACGGATAAGAAGGAAGCTAGTCAACCCTTCCTCCTTGGCTCTCGTGTGTGTCTCGGCCGAAGGTAAGTCTAACACTTCATGTGCTCTCTCGTATTGTTGAAGCTGCTAACTGACGGTGGTAAAAAAAAACAGCTTGGCCCTTCTGGAGATGCGCCTCATCCTCTGCAAGATGCTTTGGTCGTATGATATGGAGATGGTCAATCCGGAGCAGGAGTGGTTCCAGGAGAACACCTTTGGCATGCTCTGGGAGAAGCCGAAGCTCCCCTTGAGGTTCATCAGGCGGGAGGGCGTCGAGGTCCCTCCAGCGGACTATTGAGCCTCGGTAATTGGTAGGACTGGGGATGTACTTCATATGTTCGCAATGTACTTTTAGAATACCGGGGCCGGGGGACAGCTTTTTCTGTAGTTTATAGAATCTTTTCTCATACAATCACATATTATAAATTGCGATATCGATATTATCCACTATCAAAAAAGATAACAAGCAGAAAGAACGAAAGTAACAAGTATTATAACAAGCCAAGCCATCTCTCCTAAGCATCAAGCACCACAGAATTCAAATTAGCTACATATATCTACAACTATTTCGCCAAGCCCGGGCTTGGCTCATCACTCCTCACTCGCATGCTGAAAATCCATGAACGGAGGAGGCAGCCAACTACACACCCCAAGAGAGGAACCCACCGCGAGATGGCAGCTAAGCATTAAAATGGCGTCTGCGCCACGAAATACAAATATATCTTATAAGAAATAAGTTCAACGAAGGTATGAAAGGCGAGATCTTGAACGGATAGGAATATATAGATATATTGTAGTCGCACTTATCAAAAAGGATTGGTACTGCGTCTACAAGGGCGTACGCCTGGTAGTGGGCAAGTTCTCCAAGTATAGTTTGTTGGAGTAGTAGGGCAGGGTGGTGTCGGAATTTGAAAAGCTAAAAAATCAGTTATACATACAAGAACTTAATGCGAGTGATAGCTCATGACTGAGATTCAATTGTCAGCCCGGCCATACATGAATGGAACATACATGCACGAGGGTTTAGGCACCCTCTGGAGAATTAAAGGTCGAAGAAAGGACCTGAGGGTAGGTTCTTATTTGGCTGTATGGTCGATATATTGGATATATAGTTATCATCCCCTCCTGGTGGTGTGTACAGCAGCAAAAAATGGGTTTCGCCAGGACGAATCCGTGCGTCCAGATGTCCAAATTCGTCTTCCGCACCCAAAACCTCATCTGTTGCTGCCAATGCCTCGTCCCGCTGCTGCTATAATGTGACACGTCGTCTTTTGGCACCTAGTAAGCATTTAGAATGTGATATCTCGTCTTTTAACGCCTAGTAGGTGTCCAAAATATTACCTTTCCCCACTTGACGCCTCACTGGCTCCTAAAACGCGACTTACTATGGCGAATCTGCCTAAGTCCTCGCGCTAGCCTTGACCTCGCTAGCAAATGACGTCAGATTTGACATCTCGAGGATCCCACCTGCGTACCTACCTGCCTAGCTGCCTACCTGCTGCCTTCCTGCCTATCTGCCTACCTTCCTCTCGACACCTACTTCAACACCTACCTCCTACCAGCAGTGATACATACCTCCTACCAGCAGCGATGCCTACCTTCTACCTGTAGCGATGCCTGGATACATATTTACCTACCTGTATTTTGACGCCTGTACTGACACCACTGCAGACTGCTCAATAACAGCAAATCGACTCCCAAATCGTCACCTAATTGCATAAAATTAGCAGCGAATCGACGTCAAATTGACGCTAAATCGTCCATTAATCACACCCAATCTAAATATTACCCTATGCATTAATCTATGCCCAAATCTATACCCAAATCTACGCCGAGTTGATGACTGACTCTCAAGGGGGAAATTACGAGTGTTCCGCAGGGTACGTGGGTGTGGTAGAACCTGATTGGGTTAGTGTACAGTGAGGGTTGTGAGGGGACCTAGTATGTGATGGAGGTCAATGGGATGGAGAAGTGGCAGGGCAGAGGTCTCTTTATAGGAGGAGAGATAATAGTATCGTATGTAAATAGACAGCGTATATACAGAAGATAGATAGATAGATTTTATATTGCTTTGAAGTACAGGACTTATCACACGTCAACTCTCACTGCCTAGGACAAAGGAAAGACAAAATGAAAGCGAAAAGAAAATCACGATAAGAAACATATAAGGAGAGGTACATAAAAGAAAGAAAGAACTGGGCGTCATCAATCCTCCAAGTCTTCTTCGTCCAATGCGTATCAGTTAAGGAGGTTCATTTTTGCTGCGAATTGTAGAACCAGGTCAACATTGAGGTTTGTAAATAGCCAGTTCTCCCATGTGGGCAGTCCTCGGATTTTGTCCATCAGGGGCCTTCGTAATTGTGTCCATCTGGGGAAGTCGATTATGGTGTGTTTAGAGGATTGTTCCGTGCCACATTGGCATAGTTTGAGGTCCGTGTACGCTGCGTGACTGTCCGTTCTGTTGGCTTGACATCGTATTCTATGTATGAGTTTCGCCTTGGATAGTGGGAGTTTTGCCAATTTGTGATGTGTTTTGAGGGCGCCGGGTTGGTGGTAGTTGCTGCAAGGTATCAAATTCCATTTTTCTACCATTTGTTTAGTAAGGAGGTCGTTCTGTATCCATCGTTCTCTGCGGTTGTCAGGTTCTTGGAAGGGTAACATGAGTGATGCAATCCGGTGTAGGCCAGTTCCCTTGTTTTGTTTTGTTGGGGGGAGTTGGATTAGTTCTTCATTTAGAGGGTGGTCAGCTGGGTGGCAGAGGATGCGGATTGCATATTTCCATGATTTGTGAGTGAGGACGAGTTCTGGTGGGGGGAGCTCTGCCTATTTGAGTAGTATTTCGATTTTGGTCCATCGGGGAATACCAGTTATCAGCCTGGCTGCTTCGTTATAGATTGAAGAGAGTGATCGGAGGATGTGGTCGGCTCCTGTCCACTAGGCTTCTGAACCTCACAGAATGGTAGGAAAGTAACCTTGAATGACGAGGTGGTGGATGGATTTCCCAGTTGTTCCGGGGAGGTAGGCTATATTATTTTTCCTAGGACTTTCAGGCTTTAGGATATGGTCTTTTCGATTTGTGGTCGGAAGGAAAGGTTGGAGTCTAGCCAGACTCCAACGTATTTAAGTTTGTCCTTGTTATGGACTTCTGCTGTGTCGATTGTTACTGAGTTTTTTGGTGTGGGGATGTTTGATGTTATGGGTTTAAAGAAGACGAGGCCGGATTTCTGTAGTTTATACTTTATATTGAGGGACGTTGCACTTTGTATTTTGTCGGTCATTCTTTCATTCAGTCTTTTGGTGATGAAGAGGGGTGTCTTTACTATTTGAATTAGTGTGTTGTTGTTGATATAGGTGGTGTTTATTTTTTTGGCAGAGCTTGTGGGGTTTGTTACGACTCCCACATGGATCATTAATAATACTGTGGATAGGGGAGACCCCTGAGGGAGCCGTGAATTGAAAGATTGTGGTGTTTCTAGTTCATGGTTGAACTGGAATTGGAGTGTTCTATTTGTGTTGAATTACTTACACCAGTTTACCAGGTAGAGAAGGAAGTTTTGTTGGGTCATGCTCTCGGCGAGTGAGTGGTGATTGATGCAGTTAAAGGCTCCTTGTATGTCATTCATCAGGACGGCTGGTCTATCTGGGGTGGCTCCCTGGCCATGCTTGAGTAGGAGGTTCCGTTGGATAGGGGTGTGTGTGTGGATCTCAAGGGGGTAGCTAGCGAGTATTCCGCAGGTTATGTAGGGTGGTGGTAGAGGCTGGTGAATTAGTTTTCACAGTACGTAGTGGACTTCTTATGTAGGCAACTTGAAGTATTCAGTGGAGGCGGGGGAGGTGACAGCGCGGTGATATTCTTTATGAAAGAAGAGATAGTATTCTTATATAGCAATAGATGGCGTAGGTACAGAAGACGTTGCGGATGAAAGGAAAGAAAAGAAAAAGGACAGAAGCGAGAAAAAGGCCCTCCTAATATACTCAAGGAACTCCCAGTTATGAGAAATTATTAGTGACTCATGCCCTCGCAATCAACGGAACATAAGAGAACCAGATAGAATCTTCCTGACTAATCCAAGCCTTTGTAATCCAACCTATTAATCAATTGATCCATGAAAGTAGCCACTCCATTCAAGTGCGAGCTTTAACTTTAATCCCTAATGACACAGGTTTGTTTGAGTAGTGCGTGTGCAATACATCGAAGGCGGCGGTATCCTTGTTCTATGCAGTGGGCTCCGAAGTGGGATCGGTGTAACCTGTCCATTTCACGTAATACTGCAGGCCATTGTTCTTCGTCTCGAGTGAGTCCAAGATTTTTTCCACTACGTATTCTTCTTCTTGTTCAACGATTGCAGGTGCGGGCAGTGGTTGTATTTGTTCAGGTACGGGGTCGTTTGTGGCAGGGTTCATCAGCAATACATGGAAGACGGGGTGTATCTTCATGCTCTTGGACAGGTCAATGCGGTACACATATGGGGATATGACTTCATTGACGGGAAATGGGCCAAGTTTTTTCCAATCTAACTTCTGAGAATTGTGGGTGGTTTGGATGTTCTTGCTTGAGACGAATACCATATCGCCGATATCATAGCACAGAGCTGACATTCGCTTAGCATTTACAGCTTGTTCTTGTTGTTCCAGTACTCTGCGGATATTGGAGCGGAGCTGTTCGTGGAGTTCTTTCATATTCGAGGCGAAGTCTTTCCCATTGAGTATTTGTGGGGTCTTGTCGAACAGTTTGAGCGACACTGTGAACCGGGGATGGAAGCTATAGTTTGCGAAGAATGGTGTTACCTTGTTGGATGCAGAGACTTGATTGTTGTCGGAGAGCTTTATCATAGGGAGCCACTTAATACAATCATCCTGTTGATAAGAGACGTAGCCAAGTAGGTATTGTTCCATTACAGCGTTCAATCTTTCAGTTTGACCATCGGTTTCCAGGTGGAAGGCAGTGGACATACTTGCTTCAATGCCAAGATGCTTGCAGAGGGTTTTCCAGAATTTGCCTGTAAACTGCTTGCCGCGATCAGAGGTGACATGTGTTGGTAGTGCGTTCAGCTTCCAAACGTTCTGCAAGTATAGTTGGGCGACGTCCTCGGAATTGACGGTGGTGTTGCAATGCCATAGGTGTCCCATTTTAGTCAACTGGTCCACAATTACCATGATTGTATCATAATTTTCACTCTTCGGTAGGCCCGTCACGAAGTCCATCGATACCTCCTGCCATGGTTGTTCAGGGATCAGTAAGGGTCGAAGTACACCAAGTTTTCCGTGGGTATTTGTTTTGCTCCGTTGACAGGTGTG